GAGACCTCCCCGCGCCGTCACATCGTCGACTGGGGAGCCGGCAAGCAAGCAGATGATGGCCAAACCCCCGAAGGGAAAGCAGCCGCGATCAGGGAGGCCTACCGCGAGTACTGGGCGCGGTAGCACGGGCGTCCGTTGCGCCTGGCCAGCGGCCAAGAGAGGGGCATCACCAGAGGAGGGCGCGCGAATAGGGCCAGCGCGGAGGACGCGGATTTCGACCCCGTCGAAGCTGAGAGCGAGTGCCAGAACGGGAAGACCGAGACCGCAGGGCAGCCATGGATAAGGACTTACTACCGCATCAGGCTGACGGAGGCGATCTTGCGCGTCGAGGACCAGCAGGAGCTGTTCGACGCGGTTAATTGCGCGGCGAGCGAGCGGGGACTGGACCCACGGGCCGTCGGAAATGGAGCCAGCCTTCCGGAAGGCCCCCACGAGAACGACGCTGGCTTGAGCCTGGAGACAGCGCCCCGACACGCGGGGGGAGATCGCGCCCTGGACAGGGCCATCAGGCTCCGATCGCAGCGAGCCAGGAACAAGAGGAGCACCCCGCCCCGCGGCGACTGGCTGCCTGGGGACAGGTTTATTTCTGGAGGCAGTAGGGGCCCAATCGAGAAGCCTGGGGGCACTGGCGGGGACCTGCGACAGTGATCAGCACGAACATTCCAGGCAAGGCCTCTGCGTCGTACCAAGGAGGAGTCGCCCTATGCAGCTGGAGGCAGCTGCGAGCGGCCGCCCAGCTGCGAGCGGCTACCCAGCTGTGAGACGGGCGGCATCAAGAAGCCTACAGGAAGTCAAGGCCAGCGCGAGAGAAGTCTGGGCCAGCTGGAGCCCCCCGGCGCGGAAAACGAACCAAGGCCGCCTACCTCGGGGAAGTCAGAAGCGGGCGCGATGGAGGAGGGCGACGCCAGGGCCTCCAGCCCCTGGCGCGGCACTACTTGAGGACGACGGAGGCGGAACCGGAAGTTGGGGGGCCCGCGGACGCCCCCGCGATAGGAGGACCGTCGGCCGAGGAGCAGGTTCCGCGGAGAAGGGTCACGTTCAAGAGGTCGGCCCAGGAAGCATGCGCTCGGGGGCCAGTCCCGGAGAGACAGGATGCGCCGTGGAAGCCTGTGGACGAGACCGGGAGATGCCCATGGCCGACGACGCGGCGGAGTTCATCGACTACGCGCCTAGCCTAAGTTGCGGAGACAAGCCTGTCCATCAAGCAGGCCACGTAGCGGAAGGGTGTGCACCTGACCGACTTGAGCGAGGATGAGAAGGAGCAGTTCTACGAGGCCAGAGACATTGAGTCGGAGAGCAGTCTAGGCGCCAGCGCGATTCGGATTGCGCGGCCCGGACAGGCCAACGACATCAGGATGAACGACGCTGGAGGGATCATGCCGAGTCGGCGCTGCCAGGCCTGGAAGATAGGATGGTAACCGAGTGGCGGAATTCCGCTGGGTCGGACGTGGAGACCCAGACCTCGCGGAGGTCGAGACCTATTCCCCGATGGCCTTCAAGCAGGCCTGGATGAACAGCACGCGGCTGAGCGTTTCTATGGGCTTCGACATCGAGCTGGGAGACATCGGGTCCGCCCGCATGAACGGGCACCTGTGCCAGAGGAGGCAGGCCCGTTTTATATCGAACTACTTACCGACGGAGCACTGGAGCTGAACCGGGCATTCTTCTTGAGGTGTTGGCATCCTTCTATGGCATGTGAGGCGCCCTGCCTGCCGCGCCTGCGCGAGGGCGGCAAGCGCCGAGAGCCCCCGGCGCCGGGCGCGGTTGACAACTGCGGAGGCGGCGACGAACACTTCCAAAGAGCCAGGGCCAAAATCAATCAGAGGTCCCCTTGTGACAGGCACCGGAAGGGCAAGGGGGATTTCCCGGGGGAGCAGCTGGAGCAGCTCCTCGACGCGTCCACAGGGCCAACCAGAAGTCCACGGTGGAAAAGATCGAGCTGATCAGCACCCCAGCTGAGCGCAGGGCCACGATCAACGAGCTATGCGACGAGGAGGACTTCTCCTCTTCGAAGGCCGTGGCCGGATCCCCCAACTACATCGGCTGGGAGACCCGGCCAGATCTCAGTGGGCCAGCGTCCCTGCTGCAGAGCTCGTTCCCGAAGCCGAAGGTAGCGGATTTGCTGGAAGGGAATCGGCTGGCGGGGATTGGACGGGGCTTCTCCCGCGCGAGCCCGTGGGTCAGGCCGATCAAGCTGAAGTACTTGGGATCCTATGTGGTAGCAGACGAAGCCTGGTCGAACGCGAAGGGTCATGCTAGTCAGGCAGGCTGGATCTTCTCGGCAGGGGGCGTGCGGATCTACGGCGGATAGTCGGGGCGGATTTCACCGCTGGTTTGGAGATCCCGCTGGCTCGCTCTGAAGGTGTCAAGTTTCCTGGCGGCGGAGACGCCAGGGGCGGACGAGGGCCTGGCGAATGGCATGTACCTGAGAACGTTGTTCGCGCTGCTTTTTCCTTGGGCCTGGACGCCCAGACCGCCCCAGCCGTGGGGCGCACCTTTCCGTTCGCAGTCGTGATCGACAGCAATTGGTTGCACGACCATTTGTGCAACATCTCAGCGGGTGCCAGCACGGACCGGCGGACAGCCCTCGCCATCGCGATTCTACGGGAGAGCCTGAAGGACAGCCAGGCAGCGATGCGATCGATCACCAAGAGGAACGGCGGCGCCGATTTGCCACGCGCCATTTGCCAGGAGGAGAAGCACGTGATCGTCGAGGAAGTCTGGGCGCCCAAGATACGAGAAGAGGAGCGGAAGTCCAGGGTGACTAGGAGGGGGGCGCTCGGCCGACCAATGCCGGCTCCTACGACCACTGAGGCGTCTATAGGGTCAACCCCGACTGCGGGGTGATGAGGTTTTGGATCTAGCGCTTCTCACTCGCTGTATTTTCCAGCTCACTCAATGCATATGTACATATATGCACATACATATGGCATCTCCCCGAGTAGCTTATACTGAGAATCTCCCGTGAAATGTTCGGCGCAGCCGACCCCAAGGGGGTCATCCGTAGTTTGCTTGGCTCTGAGGGCGCGCTGGGGTTCGCCAGCGCGCCCTGGGGGCTGCGCAGCGGGCCGCGGCCGGCCGCCTCCGCCGAGGGCTCTCCCGTGGAGGGACAGCCTGCGCGCCATGGTGCCTGGCGGCGGCGGCGCCTGAGATGGCCGGGCTTTGGATCAACACGGAGCTGGACTCCGTCGCCCTGGAGCGGGTGGCGGTGCTGCCGGGCACGCTGCTGCAGGGGGTGTGCCCGACGACTCATGGGCCAGCCAGGGGACCGAGCTCGTCGGCGTCGGGCCCGCCTGGCGGCCCAGGGGCGGTGGAGAGCTGGTGGAGTTTCAGCATACCGCGGCGTCGGACGCGTACTTCGAGTGGTACGCCTCGGCGGTGGGCGAGGCGTGTGCTCGGGGGGGCCAACGCGCTGGTGCTCCTCTGCGCCGTGGCTGCGCGGGAGTGCCGCACTGTCGGGCAGGGCGGGCACTCGCTCGATCTCGGCAACTTGGTGCGCGAGGTGACCAGGGACGAGACGAGCTCTCTCCGCGTGCAGTGAGGCAGTGCGGGGCCCTCGGACGGGCTTGCCTCGCGATGGCTCAGCACACCAATGGAGGGGCAGAAGGCGATCGAGGTGAGAAGGCTGCTGTGCCCGAGCTTGAGGGCACGGACGACGAGGGCGAGGGCGACGGCGAGCACCTCGAGCCAGGGCCCGAGGAGCTGGCAGGAGCTGGGCGTGCCTTCGAGGAGGGCCCGCGCTCGCCTCCTCGGCAAGAGCCGCCTCGGGCCGTGCTCCGTCAGCCAGAGCCGCGGCGGCGCCCGGCTCCCGGCTGGGGGGGCTGTGGCGACGCCTCGGCCCCTCCCCCTCGGAAGGCGCGCGCCCCCCACGCTGGCGAGAGGCCCCCCGTTGCTGGCCAGCCACGCGAGGGGGGGCGGGCTGGAGCGCGCGCGGGGACGGGCGCGCGGCGGGCCCCGTGGCCGCGCGCCACCCGTTCGGCGCGAGGCGCCGCCTCAGAGGTCGAGGGGCCGAGGCCGTGGCAGCGCAGGTGGAGGCTTCGACGCTCTCGACGAGGCCATGGGCCAGCTGGAAGGGGTGCCTGCTGCCGGGCCTTCCTGGGCACGGAGTTCTTCATCGAGGACCCGCCGAGCAGTCTCGGGGCGCACGAGGTGAGGCCGCGGTGCACCCTAGGGACCATTCTCGACTTGGGCTTGTCGGGGTCCACGGTCAAGGAGCTCGATGTCGCGATGCTGGGGTTCTTGGCCCGCTTCAAGGCGTTCAAGGACGACGACTGGTACACGGCGAAGAGGATGGCCCTCATCCCTACCGACGCTCAGGCCGGCGCTGCCTCTCGCGACGAGGAGGTGGCAGCGTGTCAGGTGGGCCACGCGGAGTTGAGGCGCGGGGAGCTCCGCGGGAGACTGCCCGCCAAGAAGTCGCGCTTCCGGGGGCTCGGCAGGGGGGAGTCGCCGGGGTGGGCGTCCCCACCTGCAGGCCACCTGCGGGCTCCCTCGCCCCGCACTGTTGTTGGAGGGAGTCCGGCGACCCTGAGCACGATTGCGACGTGTGGTTGCGAGACGGGGCTCAGTCCAGTCAGAATGGCGCTTGCGACTGCTGTGGGCGCCGGGCGTCCTCTGGCGAGCCTCGGAGCGAAGGGCGTCAGCCGCAGCCCGTCGACCTCTCGTGCAGCAGCGGGTGCGATGGGCAGCCAGTCGAGATAGGTGCGGCTGAACGAGAGCACCCCCCTGATTCCCACGCTCAAGGAGCTGATGGCCCCGAACGCCGAGGGCCCCAGGAGACAAAGAGTGCGTTCAAGGCGCGGCTGATGATCATTCTGCAGCGCGCCAAGTCCAAGAGTTGACTAATTGCCACGTCACGAAGCTGGAGTGCGCGCTTAGCGTTGTCAACGCATGCCGTGCAGACCCAGGTGCAATCGGGTCGTGCCTCCGTCGTGTGGGTTCGGCGCAGCCAGATCTGCGGGCAGCACGTCGTCGTGACCTCCTCCCGCTGCCACTGCCAGTGCAGGGCTCACTCCTAGCGACGGAGGCCCTCCTCAAGCGCGGAGCGCCGCTTCGTGACCTGGGGGCTCTCGTGGACAGGGGCTGCCCGGAGGCCATCGAGTGGGCCATCATTGCGGGGCCCAACTTTGAAGCTGAGGGGCACGCGGCAGGCGTGCTTCGGGCCTGGCCTCAGGGCGCGTCTCAGGTGCAGCAAGGGGCGCTCGCCAATATTAGCTGCACGACCGCCTACTTCGCGAAGGACGCGCTGGAACCGCTGAGCGACCTGGGCATCGACAAGCTGATCACGACGAAGGGGTTCGGCTACAGCGGGCAGGAGGTTGAGCGCGGGGGGCCACTGGTGATGGGCGAGCTACGACCAGGGCTGCCCAAGCCGATGTTGGCTGGTTCCGTGCAGGCCTTGGATCTCGCGGCTCCGCATGTGCAGGAGTGGTTGTCGGACCCCACGCGGCTCCTCAAGCCTCAGGACGAATGGCCAGAGGAGGTCCTGAAGGCCAGCGTGCAAGTGACCGACAACGAGGAGTGGTACGCCCTGTGCAAGCACTTGATGGAGGTAGGCATCTTCGAGCCTGTCGAGTACCGGGAGATCTGCCAGGTCGGGGGGAAGCTGGTGCTTGCGGGGGCCTTTGCGGTTGCGAACTCGGGGACCCCGACGCCGCCCTTCACGAGGGTCACCAGGCTCATCATCAACATGGTGCCGCGGAAGGCCTACCGGCGGGTTGCTGAGGCCGCGCTGGACTCGCCGACCCCCAGCTCGACGTGGGCGTCCTTCGACGTGCCTGATGACCAGGCCTTGGCGTGGACGTCAGACGACCAGTCGGGGGCGTTCCATCTGTACGCGCTGCCACGGGCCTGGCGGGGGTACATGGCGTGGCGCCAGCCGGTGCCTGGGTCGCTGGTAGCGCGGCCGCAGTTCCAGTGGGTCAAGATGGCGGACGCGGTGACCCCGATGGGCCGGCTGCCTGCTGTGAGCCTGTTCCAGCACCTGCATCGACGACTAGGCGTCGGTGATGGGCCTCACAGCGCGGGGTTCGGCAAGAAGGTGGAGTGGGGGCGTGACCGCCCGCGGCCGCTTGCGCCTCAAGCCATGGCCCAGGCGGGTGTGCAGTGCCACCTGGACGACATCGATTCCCCCGAGATCGTGCCCGAGAGCGTCGCCACCCTCATCGAGGAGGCCCTCAGCGATTTTCAGGAACGCCAGCGGGGGGCGTATTCCTCTGCCCGCATCCCCTGGTCGGACAGGAAGGCGGTGTGTCGCCAGCGTCGCCTTGTCAGGATGGGCACCCTCGTGGACGGGGGCGCCGGCCGCGTGGGGGTCACGATTGATGACCTGATGGGCATCCGGCAGATGATCATGCGGCTGCTTGCTGGCAAGGAGAAGGTGACCGCCAAGGCCTGCCTCCTGGAGCTTGGGCGGCTGGCCCGAGCGTTTGAGTTTCACAGGCCGCTCTTCGCGACGCTCAACGAGGCACGGGCCATCCCCGAGCTGCGAAGGGCCTCGGAACAGGGGGGGGCGCCCTGCAGCAGGTCGTCCGCCTGCCCGAGGGGGCGCGCACCGAGCCGCTTGTCGCCCTGGGCCTGCTGCCGATGGCGCTCACCTGCATCCGCGCGACCTTCGACCCCATCGTCCTTGCCACCGACGCCAGCGAGGAAGGCGGCGGGCTGTGCTACACGTTGGGCCTCACCAAGCATGGAGCGGAGGTGGCGGGCGCCGACCCTGGTGAGGAGGGGCTTGCCTTCCTGCCTCGGGGCGCTATGTCATCAGGGGGGCTGCCGGAGCTGCTGCCTCGAGGGGTGCCCTGGTTGACAATGGCGCTCTTCGAGTACCTCGGCGGGATCGGCGCGGCGGGGGTGGCCTTGTCGCAGCGCCCCTGCAGGGTCGCCATGTACGCTTCGTCCCTCGAGCTGTCCAAGGCCTCCAGAACCATTGAGCGGATCTGCGGCAAGCGGAGCACCATATGGTTCGTCGAAATCGTGGCGGACATGCCGTTGGACGACATTGCGATGGTCACCGAGGTGCTGGGCGTCACGTCGTACCGCATCGATGCCATGAAGGGGGGTGCGGTGCGTAGGCCGCGCCTGTGCTGGCTCTCCTGGCAGCTGCAGGCCCGCGACGACGTGATCGAGATCCTGGAGGCTGAGTTCTACCACAAGGTGAAGTTCCATGTCGCTGCTGAGGCCGTCCCAGTCTGGGCTGAGGACGGCTGGGGCCAGCTTGGCCCTGGTCACGTGCTGCCGCCCGTCGCTAAGCTGTACAAGAGGAGTTCCCCCCCTGCTCCGGTCGCGGGGATCAAGACGGCCAGCGACATCGCGATTGAACGATGGACAGCCTCCGGCTATGTGACGCAGCTGTACAATTTGGAGGACAAGAACCTTCTCTCGAACGCGGCCAGGGACAAGTGGCGTATCCCCTCAGCTGAGCGTGAGGCGGTGAGGGGCCTTGTTCGAGGACACACACGCGCTGCTGTGAAGGGCTCTTTGCCTGGAGCTGAAGATCACCAGGTCGTCGTTCATCGGGAACTCGTTCTGCGCGCAGGCCGTGTCATACTGGTTTGCGGAGCTCCTAGCTAGAGAGGCTGGCCGTGTGGCCCCCGACATTGCGCCGCTGCTCCGCACGGGGGCGGCGTCGCCATCGCGGGGCCAGGAGCCTGAGTTTGGAGGCGTCGAGGCTAACGATCCGGACCTCGAGAGGCGGCTGGTGTTCAAGTGCCTGCGGATCGCCAGTAGAGGAGGCGCAGACGTGCAGCACGGTGCTAGCCGGGCTGCAGGCCAACATGTGGACGCGGCCCATTCGGCACGGCTTTCCGTGGAAGCAGGAGGCGCACATCAACGAGCTGGAGATGGGCGCGGCTGTGAATGCAATCAAGTGGCGTGCCCGGACGACGACTCGAACGCCCCCCCCACCTCCTCGATCCGCTGGTGGCGGCCAGCGTGCTCGCCAGGGGCCGGCCCAGCGCCAGGAGGCTGGGGGGCTGGATGCTGGCGCACGCGTCGTACCTTGTCGCCTGTGGCTGCTGCCCGCTGCACGCGTACGTCGACACGGACTGCGACCCAGTGGAGGTGCCGTCGCGCTGGCTGGACATGGGCTGCCGGGGGCATCGGCGCGCTGGGCGGGGCAGCGCGGCTCAGGTGGGCCGTGGGCGCCAAGCGGCTCAGGCGTAGCAGGCCGCCTCAGGATGGACGAGTTTCTGCAGTCACCCGACAGCGCTATGGACAGGCGCGACAACATTTGCGAGATTTTTCAACAAGCAGCAGCTGCGCCCAAAGACCGCGCGGGATGTTGACCATGGCGTTGCCCTGTACATCGAGCACGTATGGCGCACAGGCGGCTCACTACTTGCCGTGAACAAGGCGCTCACTGCTGTGCCATCTTTCAGCCCGTGCCTGTCGGGCAGGCTGAAGCAGAGCTGGAGGCTCCTGAAGACTTGTCTTAAGCTGGAGCCCAACGACCGTGCCACGCCAATGCCGCCGCTGCTCGGCCTCGCTTTGCAGGGGCCTCCTGCGGGTGAGGCGTGCTGCGGGTGGGCGCCCTGCTCACGGCTTCGCAGGGATGCTGGGCAGTGGTGAGAGGCTGCAACGAAGGCCAAGGGACATTCGCATCTCTCAGCGACAGATGTTAGCAATCGTGGTGCTCCGCAACACTAAGACGGGGCAGCGCTACAGCTGGCTTGAGCTGATCATGATCCGCTCCAGGGTCGCGGGGAAGCTGCTGCCGCAGCATGTGCTCGACAAGCGCATCCTGGACATCAAGGGGTGAGTTCCTGCAGCTCCGCAGGCGCGCGGGGCTCGCGCTGAGCCTCACAGACGAGAGGGTGACCTTGTATTTCGGCGCGGAGGCGCCACGCAGGACTTTTTGGAGCAGGGCTGTCTCGTGCTGACCCTGCTGAGAGGGGGCAGGCGAGCGCGCGGTCTGCACGAGTCTACGTGCAAGATGCAGTGGCCGCGCCGGCCGACTGCTGCTGGCAGACCTGCAGCTTGCGGGTGCCCGCGCGCTCGCCTCCCATGTCTGAAAGGATGCTTCCCTCTCCTCCGACCCCCTCCTTTCAGACTTCATATTATTCCTCTCCCTTCTGATCAGTCAGTTCAGGAGAGGCGCCAGGCGGGGCATGCATAAAAGAGAGGGAACGCCCATCCTGCAACGCAGTTTGTGCAGAGTATGGGGTCATGGAAGAGTCTTGGTCCCCCCCAGAGTACCCTCAGAAGTTCCTGGCACTCGGGGCTCGCTGAAACCGCCACCCTGCTGGCTGCCGGGGCTTCCTGGTGAGCCAGTGCGGGTGGGGGGTATTCGGCGTGCTCTGGCTGGTGGGCTGGCGTGGGCCAGTGTGGGCCGGTGTTGGTGCGTGGGGGGTTTTTCAAAGTTTCTGGGTAACTCGGGCGGGCCCTCTTCCTTTGAACACAGCGCTCTGGCTGCGCCGAAGAAAAGCGGATGGTCGGGGTATATGGCATCTCCCCGAGTAGCTTATACTGAGAATCTCCCGTGAAATGTTCGGCGCAGCCGACCCCAAGGGGGTCATCCGTAGTTTGCTTGGGCCACCTCCCGTGTCTCTGCCTGGCGTACTCGTCATAGCGCAATCTTTGCGTGCATGCCTCTTCAGTCTCAAAGCTCGTCATAGCGCATGGTGGTGCGTGCATGCATGTTGCTTCAGAGCCTGAGTCTTGGTCCCCCACAGAGTACCCTCAGAAGTTCCTAGCACTCGGGGCTCGCTGAAACCTCCACCCTGCTGGCTGCCGGGGTTTCCTGGTGAGCCAGTGCGGGTGGGGGGTATTCGGCGTGCTCTGGCTGGTGGGCTGGCGTGGGCCAGTGTGGGCCGGTGTTGGTGTGTGTGGGGGGTTTTTCAAAGTTTCTGGGTAACTCGGGCGGGCCCTCTTCCTTTGAACACAGCGCTCTGGCTGCGCCGAAGAAAAGCGGCGGGTCGGGGTATGCATGTATATATATATATATATATATATATATATATACATACATACATACATACACATAGCTAGATGTAAAGTCATCCGAGCGCTGCGCGCTCCGCTAGCTATATAGATATACGCCCTGCGCGGACTGGGTTTCAGGTTGTTTTTGGAGGCGAGGCTGACAATGTAAATAAGTGTATTGGCATCTAGTGTACTGGTGCGTGCGGGACGCTCGAGGGAGATTCTTAGAGTTTCCCGAGAGATGCCAGACACTCAACCCGTCACCGCAACCATTCTGGTTCGAATAGGGGCTTCGGCCCCTAGAGGACGCTAGACACATTGGCGTCAGAGCTGATGCTTAGAACATGGGGTTCCACGACAGCTTACGCTTCTTCCACCGCGCCACCGCATTCGGTGAGGGAGCATTGATAAACCCTTCCCCCGAGCAGGGAAATGAAGGAACTCTGGCACAGAGAAGACAAAGTCATGTCAACCACCTGTGCCCAGAGGGCTGGTGGGATTCTCGCCAGAACGCATCTCCAGAGAGGTGCGGGGGTTGCCATTTGAGGGAGGAGGAGGACGAGGAGGAGGCGGAGGAGGATCCTATTGTTTGAGCAGCGCAAAAAGGAGGAAGAGGGGGAGGAGGGGGATATGGAGGAGGGGAGGAGGAGAAGGTGGTTGAGTGTTTTGTTGGCATTTTCTGGGTGTGGGTTTTTTTTCCCTCCTTCCCGCTGTCCTACGTTGTGACCGATGGCCTTCCGGCTCCTGCTGCGATCCTTCCCCCTTGTCCTCCTGTTCCTCCCCACGTGTCGTCCTTTGGGGGTACCTCCCCATGATCGCCTGGCGGCCGCATGGGAGCAATCTTCAGCATGACTCCCTCCCTGCTAGGTGATGCGGCTCCGATCGTTGAAGGAGGCCCGAAACCATTGGCAGGGAGGGGGCGACGGTTTCGGGTTACATATTGACAAGCTTAGCCTACAGCAGCAGGAGGAGACGGCGGCGGATGGGTTTCAAATCTGGGGTGTCAGCAAGTTTTTCTAAGAATCGGGCGACTGGTGGGCGCACTGATAGCTACTATTGCCCTAGCGCTTGCAGAACACAGAAGCGGATCCCCACCCAACCACAGGGCTCAAACACCGCCGTGGGGACACCATTGGGTATGCAACCAACGGCTCGATAAGCCATGACCTCACCCCAGAGAGCAACAAAGCAGCACTGTACGATGACTCCTTCAGTCGCAGCGTGCGTTCGGCCGCCGGGGATCTGAGGCATGCGGTAATTTGCGAGTTCCCTGTTCTTCCCTCCCCCCCTCCCAACCACTGCGCGAGCCAAGATGTCTTCGTCAGTCGCTACCCCCTCAACGGCCACGAGAAAGGGGCGGCGCGCCCGACTGGGGTACAGCTCGGGAGGCGGGGAAGAGGGAGGGGGGCGGGGAGGACGGTGGGACGCCCGAAGCGACGGTTCTTGCTGGCCGAAGCGGCCGAGGCAGCAGCACGACGAACACACCACTGCAGTCTTGGTGATCCCTGCCTCCGCAAGCAGAGGGCGTGGGTTCGGCGGAAGACACGCGCGGGGGGAGGCGGGAACGATGGGGCACGAGACGGCGGGGGGCGGACGAGGAGGCGATTTCGTCCCCTCGCCTACCTCCTTCCTCCTCTTCCCTCCCCAAGGACATTTTGGCAGGAGGAGGAGGAGGAACAGCAGCAGCAGCAGTAACAGGCTGTGGAGGCGGAGGACGAGGAGGACGAGGAGGCGGATGAGTGCGGTAAGGATGAGGGGCAGGTGGGCTGGATGAGGGTATGCCGTTTTGGTTTGCAACGGCGTCCAGCCTACTCGGTAGGAGGGGAACGCGAAGAGGTGCGAGGGACACATAATTTGAAAAGGTGGATGAGAGGATAGTTAGGATTAGGATGATGATGGCGATGATGGCGACGGCCGCATTGATGGGTAACTAACTATATGATGGTGAGGAGGATGACGAGTGTGCAGAGAAGCGGGAGGAGAAGGTGGTGATTCTCATGGTGTCCATGATGGTGTCCATGATGGTGTCCATGATGGTGCAATGACCTCCTGGAGTTGACAGCTGGGCCGGGAAACGACACGCGGGCACGGGGTTAGGGGTCCCCCGTGTCCGCGCTGCGGGAATGCTCCGCCCTGGGGGCAGGAGGTCGGGGATAGACCTCGGAATTTATTGCATCGATGAGATGGGTTACTCGGGCTTCGCCGCGTTCGTCGTCTTCCGCGCCCACGTGGACAGCCACGCGTATTCCACGCCGACGTGTACGGACCGCCAGCCGCTGGAGTCCGCCGACCTACATTCATCTCGGAGTGTTTCTTCATCCTCTACATCTCGGTCCTCTCCTTCTTGCAGACGTACTTCTTCATGCTCTCGTTCTTCGCCCTATCCGGGCTTTGCCAATCACGCTGCCACTGTTCTTCCGCGATTACAATTCTCTGCCGACGAATTCGCACCCGACCTGACGAGCGACCGTGCCGCGCTCGATTTACCAGTACACATATACCGGCGTCTTCGATTTCTTCGCGCTGTCGGAGCCGTTCCCGCAGACCGAATGCTCCCCCCTCCGCTGACGCGCCCTCCCGATCCCCCTCCTGCCGCAGGTCGCCGCGGGCAGTACATGGGGGACTTGTCGGTTACGAGTTGGAACGCCCAGGCGCTCTTCGCGACAGACATGTTTCGATTTGAGGCTAAGAGTTCCTACGTCAACAAGATGATGCTGAAATCGGACATCTGCCTGATCACTGAGTCGCACGGCTCTGAGACGAGCAACTCCACCTGGCGTGCTCCTCTCGGTTCTACGGCCTGGTGGTCCGAGGGGGCCTCGCACGGTCAGGCCGGGGTCGGGGTCATCATCCGGGACTCGTTCCTGCAGCAGTTCACAGAAAGACCTCGGTGGGTCCACATTTGGAAGGGCCGAGCTGCGAAGCTCTGCTTGCGGGGCCCCCTCGGCGCATTGGACATCGTTGTCGTCTACGGGCATGCGGGCAGCCATCGTGCGCCGGTCGATTGAGATCTGGACGGCGTCCCACTTTCTCGGAGGCCTGCGGTCCACTCATATTTTGACCTTCGCTCCATGCTCCGTTCCCGGATTGGGGACGCTTTGGCGCCGACCGAGGAGTGCCTCACAATTTTGGGAGGGGATTTTAATTGGCTTACTTCCGACGTGGACAGGGTCTCCTTGACTACCATGGCGCCCTCCAGCCTGCGGGACGCCCGCGACGAGAGGCACTTCAAGGCCGTCATTTGCGACAGGTTTGGACTTGCAGAGATGCACCAGCCCGAGCACACGCACGCCTCGGCCTCAGCCTGGTCGCGGCTCGACCGCATTTATGCGAACTACCACTTATCGGATCAGTTGGACCGTCACGTCCGCTGCTCGGCGCTGGAGTGGCGCCACGACTTATCCCATCATCGGGCAGTCTTCTTCACGAGGCAGGCTCCGCAACATGGCGACGATGATGCGCGACCACTTTCGACTGCGGCTCTCGCCGATCCGTTTCCCTCGTCGAGCGGCGCTGGAGTACCAGGAAAATCGGAAAGACTTCGTTGATGCCACTGCTTTGGAGCGCTTGCGACTGTACAAAACGGCGATGCGGACGGTTGCCACCCGCATCGAGAAGGAGCGCCCCGTTCAGGAGCCCGCCGCCAACGCAGAGGACCGCCTGGGAGTTACTATGAAATTTATTCGTGCTGCGGAGGGAGGCCGGCTCAACGAGATCTCGACATGTTTGTTGCGATACCCGGCCCTCCGGGACGTCGTCGACAACCCGTACCGCGTCGATGGCAATTTGACGCGTCACCTTCGAGGCGCCCGGTTGCACGCTGTTCAGCTTGCTCGCGAGCACGCCGTTGACGAGCTGGGCCGCTCGCACCCCGATTTGACGAGCGGGGACGATATCCGGGTTACGCAAGCGCGGCAACGCAACGTCCGCCTCATCTACCGGCTTGCGCCAGGCCGTGCTTGCGGCATCTCAGCGGTGGCGAAACCAGATGGCGAGATTGTCACGCACCCAGATACAAAAGCTGCCGCTCTGCGTTCCCACTGGAAGGAGGTGTTCACCGCCAAAGGGGTGGACGATGCCCTACTTCAGCAGTGGACGGACGAGGACGTGGACAATCGCCCCCTGGCTGATGCTTGCCCTTTCGACCCATCCAGATTTCGTTTATCTCGTCGACACATCCGGGAAGCCATTGAGAAGTCCAACAACTCTTCCCCTGGCCCAGACGGCGTCCCGTTTTTGGCATGGCGGCGCAACGCAGCACTCTCCACCACGATTTTGTTCGACGCCTTCCAGGCCCTCGCGTCCGACGACGGGGCGTCCCTCATGCAGACCTTCGCCGGCGAATTCAACGCCAGCCTCCTTATCTTTCTGCCCAAAAAGCCCGCCGGCTTTGGGCCCACGGGAGAAGGGTATTTTGAGCCCGGCGGTGTGCGACCACTCAACATAACCAACACAGACAACCGGCTGTTGGCGAATGCGGTGCGATTGTTGATCGAGCCAGTGGTCGGGCCCCGGGTCTCGGATATCCAGAGGGGGTTCATCAGTGGGCGTTCCATGCTGTCCAACCTGGTCGACATAGAGGAAGCGTCGGTCCTTGCGGCTTGCTCCTCGGTCGAGGCTGGCGCGATGTTCTTTGATTTCGCAGCGGCATTCCCCTCAATTGAACGCTCCTTCCCCGCACAGGTCGTCGAGTCACTCAATTGGCCCGGCTGGCTGCGCAGCTTCATCGGCGTTCTATACCAGGGGAACTTTTGCGACATTGTGATGGACGGCGCCCGCTACAGCGGCTTTGGCGTGCACCGCGGCATACGTCAAGGCTGCCCTCTTTCCCCGTTGCTGTTACGTCAAGGCTGCCCTCTTTCCCCGTTGCTGTTCGCTGTCGCCGCGGACCTGCTGTTTCGACGCCTCCGCCGGGACCTACCTTCCATTGCTCTTCGCGCTTACGCCGACGACACGGCTTTGGTCGACCCGCTACTGCTGCGGCACCTGGCCCTGCTCGAGCGCACCTTCGCAGAGTACGCGCGGGTGTCTGGCCTGGAGCTCAACGTAAGCAAAACGGTATTGGTGCCACTCGGTGCATTCAGTCACTCTGCGATTCGCGCCCATCTTCGCGATGCCGTTCCACTTTGGGGGGCCCTCGAGATCGCTGATTCAGCCAAATACTTAGGATTTTACGTGGGTCCTGGGAGAGGCCTCAAGTCTTGGGACAGCGTTTTTAGGAAGATGGAAGACCGGGCGTCGGTGTGGGGACACGTCGGGGCAGGCATGATGCACACCATTGAGGCCTACCGGGTCTTCATCGCCTCCGTCGCCACGTTCGTGGCGCAGCTGGACCCTCTACCATATGGTTTCGCCGCGGTGGAACAACGGATTCTCCGGAAGATTTTCCCTGGGCCCAGGGACTGGCTCGACGCTGACATCGTCAAATATTTGCGTTCGTTTGGTTTCCCTCGTGACCTCCCCGACGTCGCGGCTATCGCTGGCGTCGCCAAAGTCAGGGTGTCGGTCCACGAGGCGCACCGGGTCGGAGGTCTTCGTGTTCTGCAACGCGCTGCTGCTTTTCGGGCCGCCCTGCAGGACGTAGACAACGTCGCCCGCCTAGGGGCGCGGCATGCCTGGGCGGCTTCATCCTTCATCTTTTCCTTGGAGTCCGCTTTGCTGTCGTTCCAGGCCAAGGGGGAGGTCGCGCGGGCGCTCCTCGACCCGGCCACCGGGGACGGTCGCCGCGAGGGCTGGCTGGCTCGCGCCCTGACGGCCATGCCCCCTCCCAGCACTGCGGCGATGGAGCGGGCGCTGCGCCGTCGCCTGGACCATTGGAGGCTGGACGTGCTCCCGGGCCGCCGGTGCAACAGGCTCTTGACCAACATGATGAACATCAAGCCCTTGGTTCCTCCTCGGGTGCTCGCAGCAGTCCTCCGCTCGAACATGCACGGTTGGATGACGGCCCGGAGGTTCCAGAAGATCGGGCGCTGCATTTTGGGGTGCAGTCGAGCCGACGACTCGCTGGAACATTATTGCCAGTGCCCGGTGTACCACGATCTCTGTCGGCAACATCTGCGCCTGGAGCGCCCGGAAGCCGCGGCGGCCTTGAGCGATTTCTTCCTCATCTCTCCCTCCTCCCGGCACTTGCGTGTGGATGGCCTGCCGGAGGGCGGCCTTGTCGCTGCCGCTTTGCGAGCTCTCAGCGCTTATGCCCTCTACCGCACGCACAATGCGGCGCCACAATGCCGCGCGGCACAGCCTCGCGGGAGGGAGATGCACAAATTTCTTCCGCGGCTTCCTTCGCGAGGGGGCGCGGGGCCATGGGCCGGCTGCCGCACTCGTTTCTGCGGTGCACAAGCGCCGACGCCAATATTAGCTCCATTTGCTCTGTGAGTAACGTGTGTAGTTCCCGTCGAGTAGTTTGTTCAGATTCATTGTATATATGTTGCATTGGTCGGGTGTTGATTTTTTCGTCGGATCCGTCTCCTCCTCCTCCTCCTTCTTCTCGTTGGCTGCGTGGGCGGCTCTAGTTGAACCTTGTTTGCTAAAGCATCTGGTGCTTCCCCCTCCCCGTAGTCGTTGCACGGGTGAGGCCCGCTTCGTGCGCCGTTGGCGGGTGCTGCGGCCGCGCTTGGTGGATAGTATTCGGCCCGTGCTCCCTCTCCTGTCCTCCTCTGCTCCTCCTTCTTCCTCCTCCTCCTCCTCGGTGCCGGTTCCGTGTCACGTATTGCTCCGCGCTTGCAGTGCGTTGGTCATGTGGGCGCCCAGACTGACAGGCAGTCGGGCGATGACCACCGTTGCAGAGAAATCTGTTGGACGCGCGCGACGGCTCGCCTATGGCTGGTTGGCTTGAACGCTGCTCCTGGCCCTGGCCTTTGGCAGGATTCTCTCGCCCGCTCGCCCGGGCAGTCTTTGTCACTGGTCGTTCCTTTTGTTTGCGTCTGTCTGTCCAGGGGGGCAGGATCGGTCCACCCCAGCCGGCGCCTACAGTAAGCAGCAACTGAATCGTGGTGTGACCCGAACTCGTTTTTGTTTGAATCCTCGGCCGGAGTTTCGGCCACGTTCGCAGGACAGCCTTGCGACGCACATGAGTCGTGTATAGTATCGCCGTCCGCTCCCATCTCCTGCTCCTCGGAAAAAAATATATTCAAAAATGACGCGATCGAAAATGATGATGATTAACCGTATGATCAGGACCCGCCTCGTTCCTCGTCGTATCTCGTCGTTTTTGTCGTCGCCCTCCTTCTCGCCCTGGCACTTGAGCTGAAACAGCTTGAGCTATTGGCTCACAAGCTCTGCAGTCAGGCACGGCCGTCGGCCCTCGCGACCGCCCGCTGAGCTCGCGCCGCTCACCGCAGCCGCCCTCCAGAGCCATGGCCCGCTCCTCCTCACTGTTGATCTCCTGTGCTGTCGCGGTCGCCGCCGTTGTGTCGGTAGCCTCTCTGGGGCGAAGCTTCGTGGGGACGCCGGCGACGGTGGGCCTGCGTGCTGGTCAGCGCGATCCCAGCGTGGAGATGCAGTTCTTCGGCGGGTCGCCATCGCCACCGCCGTCGCGCCCATCGTCGTCGGTGGGAGGGGACTGGCGCGCCAAGGCCCAGGCTGACCTCTACTCGCAGAGCGGGGTGTACGTGGTATCGGCCTCCATCCTCTTTCTCTGCCTCTGCGTGCTGAGCGGCAACACCGGGCCAGGGTACTTCGGCGGCTTCTTCGACTACAAGCTTTAGACGGCTGCCAGTGCCTGGGGCGCTGCCGCCACGGCTGCATCGTTGGCCAGCCGGCCGAACTCCCAGGAGCCGTCCAAGCTGCTTCGGCGGCTACCAGCGGCGCTTCAACATTGATTGAGGGGCGGGGTGCAAGGGCACGAGAGGCCAAGATTTTCGGTTTGACCAGAGTGAGTGATCGGCATTCATGAGGCTCCTCCTCTTTGCACACGCCCTCGTTCTCGTCTTCATCATTCTCCTCCTGCTCATCCACCTCTGCCACACCTCGGCATCCCCGTCCTTCTTCAATTGTTCCTTTTCCTCCTGCTCCCTCCTCCCCCTCCTCTTCGCTCTCCCGACCTCCTCTTCCCCCCCTGGCCCCTCTTCCCGAGCCCCCCTGCTCCTCACCCAGCTCCTCCTCCCCCTCCTTGTTCTCGTCGTCCTCCGCCTCGTCCTCCTCTCTTCCTTCTTCTCTTCCTGACCATACGTTTGCTAGTAATCATTGTTTGTGTTCCGCTCTCTCTCTCTCTCATGTGTGTATATATCCACATCAGGGAGAAGCCGGGCCAGGGACCACGGGGCCCCCATCCTTGTATTCTCTCCGGGGACTTCCCTGGGCCACACCTGGAGGTCCCAGAAAGCTCGAGAATCTTCCAAGACCGCCCAAGATAGCTTGAGCCTGGCCCTCAAGGCCCCCCAAAGCGCCCCACGAGAGCTCCACGACGGCTTCAGATGACACCGCGACAGCCCCAAGGCGCCCCAAGACGCCCCAAGCTGCCCCTCCGTAGCCATTTTGGCTTAAGCCACTTCTCGTTCAAGCGAGGTCCAAATCCAGGCGTATTTCAGCGAAGCGGACGTAGCGTTTAGCCCAGGGCAGCGATCATTTTGGCCCGATCATGTTGGATGATCGCGCCTGGCTCATGATACTGATCCCCGTCAATTTCCTGACGCTCGCTGTCATTATCTGGCGGTTTCGCGGCTCTGGGCTGTACGGCGTTTTACTGCGATGGAGTTCAGTTTATGTTCACTTCAATGCCACGGCGAAGGGGCTGCTCTTCATGTCACCACCGCGCCCGTTGCATCGTCAGTGGAAGGATATAGCGGACAAACTACTCTCAGAGCAAGTGGCCTGGGGGGGCCCTAGGATACTTTGCTGTGCCTTATGCTGTAACATGTGTCAACTGGTTCAGGATGATTTGTCCTCAGCGGCGCGCCTCGGAAACCTGGCTCTGACTGCATTCCTTATGGCAGGTACTCTCAAGCCACTTTGTTTACCCCTACTGTCGTGTTCTTGTTCCACATGCTCCTGTATGTTGTCGTCTTGTACCTTGCGATCACTGCCGAAAACAGTACCGCTTTCTTGAAAGTTGGCTCAGTGAGAATCTGCCAACGCATCGCAGTGAGCATTGTTCATTGCAGACCTAGGCTGACTCTTCTCTTGGGTGTTGTGTACGGCGCAGCCGTTTCGCCGGTGTGTAAATCCGCCGACACGTGTCAGGAGTTGGTTGTTTCGCTTCTCACGTTCGCCATAACAGTATCATAACAGCATCTGTCAGAAAGTCCCGCGACGCTGAATGTTTGGCAATGTTGGAGGCGAAGATGTCGCGAAATGTTGAGTCCATAGCTGACGGGCTCTTGTCAAATGTGTGCGACGCGGTGGTGCATATGTCGCAAGATCTTCTGTTCTCAAAGCCAGCCGCACACCTTGCCACACTGCTTCTCAAATCCCCCCCAACTATGGGTGCTGGTGTTTCATTTGTTGATCTAGCCTTCGACACTTGCGAGAAGGACCGTCTGACTGCATTCTTGGAGCGGCCAACGTCTGATACCAGCACTTTTCACGTTTCTTTGCGAGACTCATGGGGCATGCCGGGAAAGTTTCAGCTATTCCATGTCCAGGGCATTGACATAGACGATGAGCCGATTCAAATAGTGAGTGTGAAGGAAGATTCGGAAAAGCTTCGGGCCCCGCCTGGGAGCGAGCTTCGCGACAATCGGGGTGTCTCGCCTTCCGACGCTTTCGCAGGAATCTCGGAAGTTCCGATCAGGCTCTCAGGGAGCGTCTCTTCTCGTGTAGCGATCGGCACCCATTGTGCGGGAATGACTGTCCACTTCAACCCAGACGTCGACGGTTTGCCTATATTGCAGTGTTTCGCCGAGTTCTTGAGTCTGAGTGGACCTATATGCGAAGGCGAAAGGCTGCTGCAGTGGGTCGTCAATCAGGATGCATTCATGGAATGGGCAATGGTGGCCTACAACAGTATAATGGATGATCATGAGTTTGGTGCCAGTGCGCACAGTAGAAATATTGGTATGGATACATTCAATATCCGTCTAAAGCTGCCTTACATGGGCTTGACAGTCCGCGAAGTATCTGCGAACGCAGCCTTGAGATTGGATGTCGCAGAGGATGGGGGCAGCGACGTGACCTTTTCTGCACGAACCCTGCTGATGCTTGAGGATGTTGTCTGCGTCCACAGGGGACATTCCTCGAAGAGGTATCGCCAGAAGGGTCGGAAGCTGCCAGCGCTCTTGGAGCAGTGACATGTCGTAGTGACTCAACAGAGTGAGGTGGGCTTGCCAGCCGTTCCCACCCCTCCTCCTGCGCCTGGGAGTTGACCGCATGCTCTGTGCACGTACCGAGCAGTCCAGCCTGGTGACAGTTGGCTGCGCTGCAAGGTCGGCCGAGCCTGATTTTTTCTTAGCAATGTTTAAAGGGCCAGGGGATGATGGGCTGTCTCTGCTGAGCTGTGCTGTATGACGACGAAGCGAGTCCTTCTGGAACCAGCTTCTGGTGCCGAGCTAGGCATGCTGATCGCCGGCGCTGCCTCCAATGTACATCTGGGGCAGCTCGCGGCCGCAGTGCCGCTGCCCGTCCGCGTGGTACTAGGCGGACTGCGCTGCCTCCAGTATACACCTGGGGCAGTGAGTCAGCACTGCACCTTCTGCTCTCGGATAGTCTGGAGGGTGAAGCATTCGTTGCACAGGCGCGCCCCTGAGATGCAAGCTTGTTCGTGTGGTGGGCGCACCACACTGCCTCCAATGTGCGTCTGGGGCAGTCCGTCGCCGCCGCTGCACGTTCTGCTTTTTAACAACGGCCACGGCAAGAGTTGGTCGGGGGAAAGGGGATGCGAAGCCGAACTTCATTGTCAATGGGAGAAATACGGATCGATGTTCAGATCCGACTCTTCGATTCGATGCAGATTGATTTTGCGCCCTCGTCCTCACACCTCCTCCTGCGTCTGGGAGTTGACCGCATGCTCTGTGCACGCACCGAGCACTCCAGCAGCCCGGTGACAGTTGGCTGCGCTGCAAGGTCGGCCGAGCCTGATTTTTTCTTAGCGATGTTTGAAGGGCCAGGGGATGATGGGCTGTCTCTGCTGGGCTGTGCTGTATGACGACGCAGCGAATCTGTTTTGAACCAGCTTCTGATGCCGAGCTAGGCATGCTGATCGCCGGCGCTGCCTCCAATGTACATTTGAGGCAGCTCGCGGCCACAGTGCCGCTGCCCGTCCGCGTGGTAATACACGGGAAAGTGAGTCGAGCGTCGCAAATCCCGCACGGTCATAAGGCCGGTCTTGCACGGGATACGGAAGGAAAGAAAGAATTGGCCCCAAGACGCCCCCAAGAGGCTCCCCAAGAGAGCCTTATAAGCAAAACCGGTCCCATTCAGTTGGGAAAGCGTATATGGTCAGCATACTCGCCTCTTGGGCTTCCACAGTTTCCAAGACGGCCCAAAAGGCTCCGAAGACGGCCCTGGAGGCCCCCAAGAGAGCTTCAGGACGGCCCAAGAAGGGCCCAAGACAGCCCAGGAGGCCCCCAAGATGGCCCAAGAGAGCCCCAGCGCAGGCCCAAGAGGGGTCCCAGAGGGTGAAAACCAACTTCAAATTTCGAGCCTTGGCCCTAAGAGGCCCCAAAGTGCTCCCAATATAGGTGACCCCAAGAGGCCTCCAAGGAGCCCCAGGAAGCCCCCAGGAACCCCCTAGGAGACCCCCAAGAGGCCCCAAGCGGGCCTTTGAGAGACTTCCCACGGAACCTTAGTATACAATTGCGAAAGGCCTCTGGTCCACAACCTAGGCCCTTTCCTGGGCGCCGCCTGATCGGCACAGGTTGTGTTTCTATGTGTATGTATGTGTATGTATGTATGTGTGGATGTATGTATCTATGTATGTATGCCTGGCTGTCTGCATGTATGTATGTGCTCAGTGATCATAGGAGGGCAAGAGTTTTGGAAATTCCCAAAGGCTGCCTGCAACTGGAACTTCGAAGACTGGACCAAAGCGGTGGCTGACTCCTTTTCGAACGCGAGGCTGCTCCCAGCTTGCTGTATCGGATGTCTTAAACGGATCACGCTTGCCTGAGCCTGTAGATCACACAGACGGCGGACAAGGAACGCACGCCACTGACAGAAAAACCCAGGGTGGGTCGGGTGGGGGCCCCGAAAAGTGCTTGAGGACAGACAGTTGCAGAGCCCCACCAGCCCGACTCGAACTCAACATCTCGTTAATACGCGTGCATGCTGCTCTCTCCCATAATGATCATAGGAGGGCAAGAGTTCTGGACATTCCCAAAGACTGCCTGCAACTGCTACTTCAAAGACTGGACCACAGCGGTGGCCGACTCCTTTTCGGACGCGAGACTTCTCCCAGCTTGCTGCATCGGATGTCTTAAACGGATCACGCTTGCCTGAGCCTGTAGATTACACAGACGGCGGACAAGGAACGCACGCCACTGACAGAAAGGCCCAACCCCGGCACGCGCTCGCAAACACACACACATCAGTCCGTATCCGCCCCTGCGAGAGTCATCAACGAACTGAGAAGAAATAGTCGAGCAACGCGAGAGCGACGTGCCCTACACACTGACAGGCCATTAGTAACTGACGCGACCCCCTTCGGACCCGAGCCTCGAGGCCTCCAAAAACAATTATCCTGGCGAAGGACCCAAACATATGCAAACGTGAATGCCGCAGGGCAGGTGGGACAAAGCAAGAGGAATTCTCTATGGGGCCACGATCCTCGTGAGGGGTGTGCCGAAATGGCCCGAGGCCGCCATGCGAATGCTGCCACTGGCGCCTTCGGTGGAGCTCCCTTATAGGGCCACGATCCTCGTGAGGGGTGTGCCGAAATGGCCGGAGGCCGCCATGCGAACGCTGCCACTGAGGCCTTCGGTGGAGCTCCCTATGGGGCCACGATCCTCGTGAGGGGTGTGCCAAAATGGGGCGGGGCCGCCATGCTGGCGGATCCGCCACTGGGGGAGGTCGGGGCGCTGCCGCCGCCGAGGGGCCCGCAGAGGGGCGCGGCGTCGACTCCCGACTCGGGCGTGGCTCTGCCTGCGGGAAGGGCGGCACGAAGACGCGCGCCTCGTGCTTCTTCCAGCCAGTCGGCGGCATCGAAACAGCCCTCGGGAACGCAGCTCGAACTTGTCGCAGACCCAGCTGATTGCCTGCGACGGCCCTGCGTTCGCGCACCTTGTGATGATGTCGCTGGCGGCGACCGCGTCGATGTAGACCCTGGTGGAGCTCCCTGAGATTCACCTGCCTTTCTCCTTGATCTCGGCGAAGGGCACCACGCCCGCCGCCGAGTCAGCAGCGAATCCCGTTGGGGAGAGTGGGGCGCCCACCCCGCGGTCACGCCCAAGCTCTCCTCAATGGTCTTGAGCATGCGACGGTGGCGGTCGATCGAGCATTGGAGAAGGCAGGCCGAGGTCGGCGTAGCAGCAACGAGGCGAGACATGAGACGGATGAGAGCCTCTTCCTCCTCGCGTATGATGACAAGTTGTGCTCTCTTTGCCTTGGCCCTCGTTCGAGGTCCCAGGGCGATGACCATGCTTCGTTGCAGCGATGCTCCTCCAGACCTCGACGGCCACGCGATGTCTTCGGGTCGCATTTCCAGCATCGCTGATGATCGAAGTCCACGTTTGGCTTGCAGAAAGATGCCCACACCCAGGCAGTACTGGCCTTGTCTGGTCCACTGTGCCCCAATGAGCGCAGCGGGCCCACGGCCGAGCGGCGCCGCATGCTTTGTCGGTGCATTCGCAGCCCAGCCCGCCAGCACGGCCCTCGCCCAGTGTAGGCTGCCTTTGAATTTGGAAAAACAAAATTCCACGTTCGCCAGCAGATGCGTGAAGTGGCTGCGCGATAGACCTGCCTCGTTCTTGAACTCCACAAGCAGTTCGTCCCGGGCCTCGGCGCAGTCGGTCTGGAAGTTGCACTCTTCCAGCCACGTGGAAAACGGCTTCCCAGCGGCTCGGTACCTGGCGAGCGTCGCTGGGTTGATATTGCTAGGCTGATGCGGGTCGAGACGACGTGGTCCCGCCACTGTCACTCCGCTCCGCTCCCTGCTCATCTGCACAAATTAAGCGAGAGACCCAACGAGCAGGCTGCTTAATGGTCTCGATCCACGGTATGATGAGTCGAATCCTGGCCGCCAGGCAGGCGGCGGTCTTCTGAAGGTAGTAGACGGTTGACCTCGAAAGCCGGCGAGCGAGGGCCAGCCCGCGCGCCGGCCTCGCCATTGCTCGGCCTTCCCCCAAGGTGACGTGGTCCGCGCGGGCCCAGCGGCCGTGCTCCACCACCTTCCAGTCAACCTGTCCGTCGAACAACTCCTGAGGCAACATGGTGAACGGTATGGTACGCCTGATCTCCTTCTCGGGGTCCTTCAAACCCGCGAAACTGCCGTCCAGCTTGGCCACGGTGAAGCCCGCGGCCACTCCTGCATTCACCGACTCGAACTTCACTTTGTCAGAGACGTTCCCCGCGACGGTGCCGTACCCGCCGCTGTCGAGCTCCGAGGCCCCCATGGCGTCCGCGGCGAAGAACGCGTTTGCCACCGGCGCCCCGACGTCGGCGATCGCGAAGAGGACAACCCTCACCATGGCCCGCAGCCGACAGCCATGTTCGGGCCCATCGCCCGGGGACAGGTCGAGGAACTTGAAAACGGCGGAGGGGATGCTGAGTGAATCCCTCCTGGGCAACGCTCCCCACGCCCAAGACCCCGCAGTAGACCGTACGTCGTCGGCGTGGACCCACTCGGCCCTCGTCAGACGCTCAAGTTCCTGCACGATGGCCGCCCTCTTCTTGGGCAGCCTCAGACTGGCGGGCCGATGAGCCACCTCGTAGCCCACGACCTTCGTCAGCTCCTCCGCTGGGGCGCGGTCGTCCACGACGGAACCCAGTGCTTTCAGCTCGTCGGCGAGCTGTTCCATCAGGCTGTCCGCGGCTCCCAGGTATTTGCCCGAGCCGATGCACGCGCCGTCGTCCACGTGTAAGTAGAAACCCAGCTGCCGCTCACACAAAACCAGCCCTCGTCCTCGTGCTGCGTCTTCATTCCGAGTTGCCACCGACCGGTGTAGCGGGCACCGCTCACCCCAGGCTGAAACCTTGGGTCTGGCGCCCTCAGGGACCTGACCACTGGTGGGCTTCAGAACCGTCTATTGGGCCCTCTTGGGGGGCTCTTGGTCGCTCTTGGGGCCATCTGGAGGGCTCTCTTGGGCCATCTTGGGGTGAGGGTGAGACGCCACCAATCATTGATTTCTCTAGGGTGTTTGAAACATGTTGGCCTCTTTCTTGGGGAGGCCTTGGGGGGCTCCAGGATAACTTGGAGCCGTCTTGGAGCGGTCTTTGGGGCCGCCCGGAGCATGTTGGAAGCCATCTTGAGCCATCTTCGGCTATCTTGCGCCATTTTGGATGTCATCTTGGACGAAGCAAGACCATCCGACTAATCGCGAACCCTTCATAAAGAACCCGGGGATGGAAGGGGGAGGGTCCCCCTCTCCGAATGGAAGAAGGGATTTGGACGAGGAAAGGATCTGGTCAGACCTCCTACGCTGAGAGAGGTGGCGGGATCGGGCAACACCGGCCTCAGCTCTTTGTTTTCAGAGTTTTCGGTAACGGATGCTTTGGGTCCCCTCCGCGCCGCGCCCGCCCCCCCGCCCCCGCCCTCTCTCGCCTGAGAGGCCCGGCTCGCGATGCTCCGCGGCGGCGACCTGGAGGGCTACGCGGAGGATGCCGCCGTCGTCGCCGCCGCCGTCGTCGCCGCCGCCGCCGTGCCGTCGTCGTATTTCGTCCTCGTCTCGTTGTCTTTGTCGCCGTCGTCGTCGCCGTCGCCGTCGCCGTCGCCGTCGCCGCCGCCGCCGTCGTCGTCGTATGTCGTCGTCGTCGTCGTCGTCTTCTTTGACTCCCCGCCTCCCAAATGGGCCAATTCAGACAGGAGGAAGAGGATGAAGAGGGAGGAGGAGGAGGAGGCGGAATGAAGAGGAGGATGCGGTACAGGAGGGCTGGTCCCGCTGACGTTTCAAGCCATCGCTCCCGCGGCTTGCCTAAGAACAAAAGGACCTGTCCCGTGGAAGGGGTCTAGAAACTTGCAGGGTCCCACGCCACGATGAAGCACTATGGTGTCTCGGAGGCCTCTAGGGGAGAGAGGTCTTTGATGGGAGCGTGGAGCTAAAAACAACAATGCCACCAATTCCAAGCGAGTGGGCAGATATTCATATCCATACATCCAGTGCCCCCCCGGGACCCCGGACAGGACTCCAGACGTTTGTGGATATGGATACTTCACGGCAGTGCGCCGTCCAGACCACCGTTCCCTTGCCGCCATGCCCATCACCACCGTCGCTCGTGTCCCAGTCTTTGCTTAGCTCAAGCCTCTGCAGCTTGGCACCGCCGTCTGCCCTCGCAGTCTTCCGCCGAGTCCCTGAGATCCGACGTCGAGAAAACGTTGCACCATATTGAAAAAAACTCGATTGGAGCCCTGGACCCCGCCTTTCTGTATTTTTCGAGTCGGAACGATCCGTGAGGGTGCGAAGGGCACGAAACAGGGCAAACTCGCCCGATGTGAGAGCATTGCGACGCCATGAACTCAGGGCTCCCCTGGCTTTAGGCCTCATAACTCGGCTCCCCGGCGGCCGTTCGGGGCGATTGGGCACCCCCAGAACGCCCTCGGCGAGGCGCAGCTCGTGGAAGGCACTCCGAGACTGGAAAGCCGCCGAGGACCAATGAAAACGCTGGAAAGTGTCGACCTTCGAACCCCGAACTTCGAATCTTGGGGCCTCCCGCCGAGCTGCGTTGACGCCATGGCCCGGTCCTCCTCGGCGCTGCCCGCCTGCGCCCTCGCGGTCGTCGCGATCCTGTCGGTGGCCTCTCTGGGGATATCCTTCGTCGGGGCGCCGGCAGGGCTGCGGGGGGGCCAGCGCGAGCCCGGCGTGGAGGCGCAGTTCTTCGGGGGATCTTCGGCCCCGGCCCCGGCGTCGAGGGCGGCCCCGTCGGCGGGAGGAGTCGGAGGACAAACAACAGCGCAAGCGTAAACTTTCGGAGGCCTGCGCGGATTTCTTGCATCGGCTCTGCGGCCCACCTGGCGGCGCCTCCAGCGCCGCCCTTGGCGCGCTCCGCGCGCCAAGAAGGGGGTCCATCGCAGATCCAAGAAATCCCCGCGGACCTCCGAATGCTATGTTTATGAAGGTTACTTGTGCCTCTAAGGCGATTGGCGCGTCAATGCCCAGAGTGATCTTTACTCGCAGAGCGGAGTGTATGTGGTCTCGGCCTCCATCGTCTTCCTCTGCCTCTGCGTGCTGAGCGGCAACACTGGGGCCGGATATTTCGGCGGTTTCTTTGACTACAAGCTGTAGGCGGCCGCTGGTGCCAGGGGCGCCAGCATCTTCATGGCGGGCAGAACGTTTTTTTAACATTGGACTTTTGGCCACCGAGCCCTGTACGTACTACCTCAGATCGTGGAGAACAAAATACCAATCTCCTCTTCCTGCACCCATGCCAGAAGCCGCCCCCCTTTGCCCTACCCCCAGCCGGAATCCGCTCCAAAGGCCCGTCCCCGGACCATCCTGTCCCCTCTGCCGAGCCGCGCCCGGCCGCGGCCACAAGGGGGTCCGCCATAATGAGGCCGAGTAGGGCGAAGACGCCCCCCCAGACATCCAATGGATTGTTTTTGTTGAAGACGGGGGTCCCTGGCAGTCCCGACCTTTTCGGCCCTATCCCCGTTGGTCGGCTTTCCACCCCGACTCGCATGCTCAATGCCCCAGGTTTCGAAAACTGCCTGTCAGAGGGCGAGAATTACAACATTTCGGACTCGACACGTTCGAATCTCTGGATGTGCAGACTGCGCCCTGGCTGATGCCCCAGCCTTGCACCGAGCGACACGTAGTACGACGCTGACAGATGGCTCTCGTCCTCTCTTTCTTCCCTCCTCGATTGTTTTCGGCGCCGCCTGGACCTGAGGGGAGCTGTCGACCCGACGGTGACGCCGACGACGATGAGGGTGGCGGCGGCAGCGGCGGTGGCGCGCCGAGGAGTTTCCCTGAGGACTCAAGAGCTTGTAAGGCCCAGGGGGAGGCGCCCAGAGACGTCGATCCTCGACACTATCTCCTGACATCCTGCGTCTTGAGCAGAAATTGGGGGCGGAGATTTTTCACAGTCTTCGGCCTCCAGGGGCAGCCGGCCCTTGAGAAAGGGATCTTGATTCCAGGGGACCCAATGATCAGGAATGTTCGAGCATCGGACATTTGGGTACGCACCTGCTTGAACGATTCCCAAAGGAGGCATGCCCAATCCCACACCCAAACCCATGCAGGGGGCACATCACCTATTCCAGCAGCACGGGAGCATCATTCCAGCACGGGAGCGTGTTGAGTCGGGTGGGGATTCGGGGTCGCCTCTCTGCTTTGGGACTCGGGCCGTTCTCCGAGGACGTCTCGGGCGAGGGCCTCCGAGGTCCGAAGACCGTGCGGTGACCGACCGCGCGGTGAGGTCCTTGGGAATCCCGAGGTCACCGCGCGGCCTGTCACCAATGCGGTTTTCCGGGCCTGGCCGCCAAGTCCCGAGGCACTCGCCGCCACCAAGGAGAGCCGCCTGCAGGAGGCCCCGCCGCGCCGCCGCCAGCGCGGCGCGTCCTCTGCGCGACCGCCGCACTCTGCGCGGCCGCCGCCCGCCGCAGGCCGCCGCCGCCGCGGCTGCCGCCTGGTCAGTTGAGCGACCAGTGTTGTCGCGTCGCTTCTCGGCGGTGTTCGGAGATTGTCATCGGTTCTCGGTGGTTTTCCTGCATCGGGATGCTTCTCCCAACAGCTGCGCCTCGCCGAGAGCGTCCTTGGCGTGCTAGAATCGCCCCGAACGGCCGCCGGAGACCGGAGTTGGGGCTCGAAATCCAGACGATGAGGATCAGGGCACAAAGGGTCGACCGCGTGGACATTCGCGCGGAAGTTGCCTGCATGAGGCCGCGCGTGAGTGCCCTCGTTTACGGTGTAGCGTGCCGCGCTGGCGGCCCGTGCACGCCGCGTCGTAAGGCCGCTATGCTATCTTGCGTGAGACCCGTTTACTCTTGTCGTTCAGTTGGAGCCTGGCGAGGGCGCGAAGGCCAGAGGAAGAAGAGGTACCGATGCTGCTGCTCGTCCTGGAGGGCCATCGTCGCCACGGCTAGATCAATCCCCGGAGCTCTGGCCAGAAGGCACCCCAGGAGAGGTCCGGGGATTAGCTCGACTAGGCGTAATAGTGACCTTTCGCCAGAGAGACCTCTGGTGCGGGCACAGATGGGCCCCCAGATGGCCGAAAGAGAAGCGGTAGCAGCGGCTTGCGCGCTTGCTTTTGGCCCCCCCGCGGTCCCAGAAAGCCGCGCACAAAAGGTCACTCTTACTTAGGGTCACTCTTGCTTGTAGCCGATTAGCGGTATCGGTACGTTCTGTCCACCCCAAAGGTGTGACCGCGCGTCGCGCGTCGCGGGGCTCACCCGGCGCCAAGAGGCGATGTCCCTGACGCACCCGCGGGGGCGCGGGGATGATCGCGTCGCGCGCGCCGCGGACCAGGCCAGGGAGCTGCCCCTCTCCGGGTGGCCTCGCGACGGCGCGCAGAGACCTGCGTGTCGCGGAGGCCGGGATGTGTCCCCAAGCACCGATCTTCAGGAGCTCAACGACATGGTTTCGACGAAGAGAAGGACAAAACAACATCGAACCGGTGTGGGGTGGGGTGGAGAGTTGGATGTGTTAACAGATGGCCAATTTTGCAAGCTCCAATCATCGAAGCCCGATTTTGCACTGTAGCCTGCCCGACTGAGTGGTTTTGTCTCTTGCTCCTCCGTTTCTCTCTTTCTTTGTTTTCCTTTTTCTCTCTCTCTCTCTCTATTCCTCTCTCTCTCTCTCTTTCTCTCTCCCTCTCTCTCTTATCCCACCCTTCAGTTCACACAATTGTCCCTCTCTCTCTCTCTCGTTCGCTCGCGCGTGTTGGCAATGCACTCATCCCATTACGTTTAGATACAGGGCGAGCCACAGGTCCAGGGAGTGCTCACAGCCTGTTGGTTCGGCTTCCACCTCGATCCCGAGGTGTTCAGATCGCCTGTCTCTCGTGCGCAGTGGAACTCGTGGGACATCGCAGAAATGGACTGTCTCACTTCTTGCTACGTTCGGGCTTGAGTACTCAGGCCTCGGTGTGGTGAGGCTCATGCCCCAGATCTTGGTGCGCGATCCATCCGTTCAATGCTGCCTACCTGTGCGTGCTCGTTTCCCTGCTGAAGACCATAGAGCCATAGAGGAGTCCTTCATCCAGCACCACCAGGCCTTCGGTCCCAGAGTGTGGCAGATAGAGAAGATGTTGCGTCTTTTCCACATCCATCTCGAGGCGTACGAGAATTGGAGTTGAGCGATGTTGACCGTGGCCAGCCTGCGACAGCGCGAAGGGAAGGGGGAACACGAACCATCATCGAGTTCCGAGTCCTACGACAGTAGCGAGCAGACGCCGACGAGCGTTCGCTTCCCTCTTCGATCGAGTCCCAGGAACTGGAGCTCACAAGACTCCTAATACCCTACCCCGTCGAGCAGCATCCAGCGTCTCAGCATGGCCGTTCTTTCCTCCAGCAAACTCTTCGGCAGAATTCAGACCCCTCCCATGGTGAAGTCGGAGCAGAAGTTCGAACGTGATAGACCTCCATGTACCAAGCGTGCGTTTCTGCCGCGTTCGCCGTCCTCTTAGAGTCTGTAGGTGTTCAGCCACATCAGTTGCGTGCTTTTCGCGGCCCTCCGTTCTGGGCCACCATCAGCGTTGTATCGCCAATGTGAACGTACACGAGGCGAGCCCACAGTCTGTTAGACACTTCTGTTTGACAGTTCCGCGTCGTGTGAACGTTTGTTTCAGGCGTGTGTGTGCTGACCCTGGCACGCAGTCGAACCCAGCACACTCAGTGCGCGCCCGTGCGCGGTGTTGGCGACTGGGTCCCCTCGGTCCTGCCCGGTGGCTCGCAGAGGAAAAAAAAAACGTTGTATCGCCAGTGTCCGGTCTCGCACGCTTTTTCGCGCAGAATTTCAATCGTGGCATCCCGCGAGATGGGCCAGGCAAGTTTTTCGCACTCTCCCTCCCGAGTGGCGCCGAGCTTTGAACGATTTCGACGAGCCAGTCGCTTTGACTGCGACGCGCAGCATGTTAGACATGCCGTCGCAACCACATAGTGCAGTGGTGTACGGTTTGGGCTCGCACACTTCGGTGCATATTGAAAAGGCGCTCCTGAGGACGGGCAAACTCTCTGGGGTGCTCGATCGTGTCCAGCAACATTTCCGAGGACTCGCGCTTCCACGGGCTCGTCCAGGGAATCGTTCTCGATATCGAGAGGTCCGACGATGTGCAAGTTCCCTTTTCTTCATCCCTTTCCTGTGGCTGCCGTCCAACGCAGTTAGCTACCACCTCGAAACATTAGCGATCAGACATTTCGGGCCCAGTGCGGATCCAGCTGACGAGATTTAATGCGAGTCTGTCAGCCAACGACGAGGGCAAAATACACTCTTCACCAACCCGGCGGGGAAGAAGATGAGACGATCTCCATCATGGCGACGACGACTTGCCCTACGCTCACCTTCCCCAGTCTGGTTAACGGCGACTCCAGCAGCATTGGAGGTTAAGGTCCACGAGGCACGTGGACCCCTAGGCTGGGTTCCCAGCGCTCTGTTGGAGGTGGCCCCGTGCTACAGATCAGAGAACACTTTCACTAGACCCATCAGAAAGGCCCGCGGTGGGTTTTGGCGCCCCACCATCTCGGGCACCCAGCCGGCAAATGGAAAGCTCCAGCATACTGCACGCAGCTCAGCATAATGGAAAAGAGCGATCTTCTTCAGAACAACTAGCCTCGCCCCCTTAAATCCTCCAGGGCTTCGCCCGTCTCTGCGAGGTCAAGTTACATGTCAATCGTCACCGAGGACTTTTGAGTTTGCCAGCGGCGGGGTCGATGGTTATTCGCGCACCTTTTGACCGTTGCTCGACGGCGTACCAGCTGGCTGTCCGCGGGGCCATCGTGCGCATGGCCCGCGGCATGATGTTCGAGCCCGCCGGATCTCGGCCACGGCGGCCGACTCGAAGTGTCTTTCAGTGGCGACGGGTTTGGAAAGGCAGAGTTCCAGCGAGTAGGCTATGCGCAGAATGTAAGCCGGAGTGCCTGCCCGCGTCTGTTGCTGAGTCGCGTTTTTAGAGCGAACCTTTGTATTTACGTGCCCTTCCAGGTAGCTGGCGCCCACCGGCGTGGCCCCCTCAAAAACTCCCCTAAGGGTCAGCCCGCAAGGTGCTCCTCCAATGGGGCCAAGCAGCGAGGCTGCCTTGGCGAGGCTATCCCCAGCCCTCATCCGGAAGGGTCTCGACTTCCTGGCAAAGCGCATCCCGGATGCCAAACGCTTATCGAAGGACCCCGCATTATCCCCACCTGTGCAATTGCAAAATATGGAGTCCATGTCATCGGCCGCTGCCCCCCAGGCGCAGAACGACATCATCATTGCGGACGATGTGAAAGAGAGCAAGGCGCGGATGGCGCACGGGCCCTGCGCGACGTGAGGACTACGCCAGACGGCAGAATTTGACGACGATTGGATGGTTGGGCGTGAGGTTTCTAAATGCAATGCTTCCTTATGGCTCCGGGCGAGGGCTCTCCAAGGCCCGCCCCCATAGCTCCGAAGAAGGTAACGCGACGCCCCCGCCTCTCCAAAACGACGAGTTGATCGCGCGCGTTCCCTGCGGCCAAGAGAAAGGTCTTCCTGGGCGATGGCGCCCGTTGCTGCGACGAGCCTTGTCGCGGAGGCGCGCGCAGGATTGCCAACTCAGCAGATGCACCTGTCACCGAGGGGCACCGTTGCAGAGGCCCCGCGGTCCGCCGCGGGATTCGGGTCAGCGGTATCTTATCAGGAATGTTCAAAGTGGATGCGGCAGCGCGCGAAGTAAGAACTGTCGCGATGGCCCCTCAGTCTCTCCACGGGCTCATTCCTGGTTGCCGGCGGGCTAGCTGGCTTTTCCATAGTGGCGGCTGATGCGGGCCAGGCCTGCGAGCAGAGCGGCGATGACCTGATTGGCGCTGCGCGGTGGGAAGTGTCAGCCGCAAGAGCGCAGCACTCGGGGGCGGGCGCTGCGCTCGCGAAGCGCGGTCGCGAGGTCAAGAACCAAGCCGTCGACGGGCGCGCCCCGCAATTATTTCAATATTGTTGTGGGTGACATCAAGAGGACGATGCTTGCGCACTGCTGGCTGTCGCTCTAGACCGCGTTGGGGATTGTCGATGGGTCGCGCGGGTTGCTCGCCAGCGGGCCCTCCCAGGCGCGGCTATTTCTATCCTGCTTGCGCGGCAGGATAATTATGCGTGCCCAGAAGCGGCCCGAACAGTCGGCTGGGACTGGCTTCGAAACTTCAACGTCGTCATTTTCGATCGAAGTCCGACAGCGTCGGTGCGATGGTGGCATCTGGGGCGCCAGCGGGGCGCGCCGCGGGGAATGCGGCATTGAGTCTTCGAGCAGTTGGCGCTGATGTGCCGGGTGAAGCTCTCCCCCCCCGCTTCCAACCTCCAGGATTCGAAAGACCGCGCGTTTGGCTGGGCCTCGAGCCGCGGCGTCTAGAGGGCCCCACGCGGATCGCACCGTAGAAAGGCCGCGTGACCTGGCTCGAACATCCAGGACCTGAACCTGGCCCCCGATCCAAGACGAACCTGCCCCCCTTGCCAGGCGCAACGCCCAGGGGGGTTGGGGTGGTTCGCTCATTGTTCTCGGGCAGACTAGCGCGTGCCCGACAACTCCCGCTCGCGATCCACGTCGCCCTGTCCTGGATTCCCGAAGAGACTCTCGAGGTGATCTAACTGGGCGGCCCTCCGGGTTTCATCGGCGCGGCCGCGAGTGCGAGTCGATGGCCCGCCGCAGTTCAGAAGGCGCGAGTGGCCCCGGGTTGGCGCCAGGCGCGGCGACCTATCTGGGGCGGGGGCGACCAGGATCAGGGCGGTCGTCGCGGCTGCGGTGGCCGACGCTCGGGAGGCGGCCAATGGCGGCGCCGCGAGGGCGACCGCGGCGGAGGTCATGGTCGCCGCGGCTGGGGCCGCCATCGCGACGGCAGCAGCAGCGCGGGCCGCGATCTTGACAGGGTTCGAGACCGCGAGAGACGCGACCGCGAAGCTCGGGGCCACTGCGACGGTGGCCGCAGTCGCCGGGGCAAACGCAGGTCTCGCTCGGCGCCCCCTCGATCCCGCGACGCGGAGAAGTTGGGGGAGACTTTGGCGGACATGGGCGCCGAGCGCTGCGCCTGCCAGAAGGACCAGAAGGAGATGATTTGAGAGATGATGCTCGGGCGCCAGGATAAAAACGAGGCAGCAGGGATGAAGGCGGCGTTTGGAAGCAGGATAACGTAGCTCGCCGAGGCCCAGGCGGACTCGAAGTCCACGGGCGAACCCCTGCGAATGCGCCCCCCGACTCCCGTGGCCGCCCCGCCCGAGATGGGGCCCAGGATGGGCCGGCCCCAGTCGGTCCTGGGCACGAAGCACCTCCCCTCGAAGAAGCCATCCCGGGGCCAGGCGGCCTCGACTTGAGAGCGCGCTCAAAGACAGGTCGGTCGCGGGCCAGGTCAATCGGCGCATCTGGGCCCGCTTCCTCCGCGCATCCGCGCCCCCCCCCCCAGGCGCTCGACATCATCGGCGGCTCGGTCCTCTGTGACAGTCTGAAACATTGTGTCGAGACTTGGCGGCGTGTATGCGTGCGTGATTGAGAGTAAATGGGAAGACGCTCCGTTTGTCCCATGGTGCTCTTGGCAGCAATGTGGTGATGTGGTCGTTTCGTTGCAGGTTTCGCCGCCGCTTGTGCGATCTGGGGTTTGCTACCCGTAGATGGCTGGTGCGCGCCATTAGCTTTCGAGGTCTACGCGACCTTGCACTGGGCTCATCTCGCGAAGCGTGATATCTCCAGGAAATGATGCACCCCCCAGCCCCCATTCACCATCGCAGATTGTCGCGAGCAGGTTGTTGTGCAGCGCCTGTTCGCAGGTCTCGTGGGGGCCGCGATTCTGGGGGGCTGCATTTACCTACCCTTGCTTTGGCCCCTCCCATTCTCTTTAGACTCAAGCAGCAGAGATTAGCCTTCGGTGACGTGCCTCTGTTTTGTTAAGCGTTGAGTCTGGCAGGCAACGCTCGACCCCCCCTTGCCGTTTTCCTTCGTCCTGAACCTGCAGAAGCTTCCCCCCCCCGACCCTTCCCCCCTTTAGCTGACCATTGCGCGCGCCCAGACATTGGATGGCGTCGACTCTCTTCCATGATCCAACTGTGCGCCTATGCTTTGTGCTGGTCTTGTCCAAAGTTCTGATAACGCTGCGTCCGATTCTTCTGACCGCGCGCGTTGACCTCTACCTCTGCGGGGGCCTCATCACGAGTGGTGCAGCGAGAGGCCAGTCGAACTCAGTGTATCCTTGGTCATTTTCTCTCCCACCCTCTCTCTCCTGCCCGCCTGCCATTATACGCCCCCCCCCCCCGCCCCGCTTCGACAAGCCCGTGAGCCACCAGATATACCGCAAACTATAGGCCATCCGTGCCGCGTTGCCGCCCGTATGTGGTGATGATATCTCTCTCTCTTTCTCTCTCTCTCTCTCTCTTTCTCTCTCTTTCTCTCTCTCTCTCTCTCTCTCTCTCTCTCTCTCTCTCTTTCTCTCTCTCTCTCTCATTTTTTTCTCTCTCTATCTCTCTCTCTCTCTCTCTATGCCCCTCTATATATTTATGGTATGTTTTGGTTGTTGGTGTTTTATTTACTTATCTATTTATCTCTCTCTCTCTCTCTATATATATCCCTCTTTCTATATATGTATCTATATCTCTCCCTATTTCTCTCTTATTGTCCGCTCCCTCTTTTTTTTGTTGTTCTCTGTCTCTCTCTCTTTTGTCTTCTCTCTCTCTCTCTCTCTCTCTCTCTCTCTCTCTCTCTCTCTTCCTCTCGCTCAATATATAGATATATATATATATATATATATCCCTCTATCTCTTCATTTTCTGTTTTGGATGTTGGTCTGTATTTAGTTTTATATTTTGTGTTTCTCTCTCTCTATATATATATATATATCTCCCTATCCCTCTCTCTCTCACTCTCTATATATGTGTGTATACATCTCTCTGTTGTTTCGCTCCCTCTCTCTCTCTCCCTCTTTGTTGTTTTTTGTTTCTCTCTCTCTCTCTATCTCTATTTCTCTCTCTCTCTCTCTCTCTGTCTCTCTCTCTATATATATGTCCGTATATTGGTTTGCATGGTCATGCCCATTGGCGCGTGCATCCCCTACGCCGTCTTCCCTCCGTTCCAGAGCTGTTCTGGCTCGTGAGTTTTGGCGCCGAGCCAGGCCCCCCTCTCCCGCGTCTCGGCGGTGCGTCCGCCGCGGCGCGAGGGTCGCAGTGCGCCGTGGCATCCGCGCGACGCCGTCGCGCGGCCTGGCGGCGGGCCCGGGCCACGGCGCGCCGCGCGCGCTCGGTGCGCGGAGCACGAGCGCACTCCAGGACGGGAGATGGGTGCAGCTCGCGGAGGCGGCGTCGTCGCCTCGGTCGGGGAGCGGCTCGGCGGCGGCTTGGAGCTCGAGGTCGTCGAGGACGACGACGAGGCTGCGGCCGCCTTGGAGGAGCTGGAGCCGTCGCCCGCAGACCCGACTGTCATCGAGCCGAACTCGCTCTACTTGAGTACGGGGTTCAGCGGCGATGGGGAGCGGCAGTGGGGTTTCGCGTGGCTGGCGCTGCGGGCCACAGCCGCCTCCGAGCAGCTCGTGCGTGCGATGTCCTGTTTTAGCGACGATGCGCACTGGGGCTGGTGGGCGGCGTCTCCAGGCGCGGCGGGCGGGATTTCCCCCAACGCCCTGCTGCACATGCACGGGCGAGCCGCGCGGCATGGAGGCACCTGCGGGCCGCGACGAGCTTGCCCACGCCGTGGACGCCCGCAGGCTGGAGGCGGAGGACATCGCTGAAGTCTTCTCCAACTGCTTCCCCCGCAACCCCGAGGCGGTCTGGCCCGCGGACCTGCTGGGGCCGCGCGCGGCGCGGCTGGCCGCCCAACACCGGTCGGCGCGCCCGACGAAGGACAGTGCTGCGCCGCCGACGCCTGGGGCAGCAGGGCCGCATGCAGCCGAGCGCACGGTCGTGGGCCACGGCGCCCCCTTCGATGGGCTGCTCGGCGACAGTGCCCTGGTCGCGCGGGCTGCAGGTCCCCCACTCGACCTGGAGCCCGCGCGGGACGAGCTGCGGGCCAGGTTCGCTGCGGCGCGGGACTGGTTCGCCTCGGCAGCGCGCGGAGTCGCTGCGGCTGGCTCACCTCTGGACAGCGCAGAGGGCGCGCCGAGCGAGGGCAAGCCAAAGAAGCGGGGCCTCGCCGAGGTGCTCGCGGAGCGCATGGCGAAGGTCGCCAAGGCCCCCAGCGCCGATGCGGCGCGCGGCTCAAGCGGCCCAGCTGCTGCGGCTGTGGCCAGCGGGGGAGCTGCGGGCGAAAGCGTGAAGGAGCTGGCGACGGCGCTCATAGCGGTGCTCAAGAGCTCGGCCGCGCAGGCCGCTGGCAGCTCGGGCGCTGGCGCCGCCTCGGGCCCCCTCGGCGCGGCCGACGGGGCCGCGGCCACGGGGTGACTTGCGTCCAAGCGGGCTCACTGCAGGAAGATGGCGCAGGACCAGCCACGCAGGTTGTCGGAGCTCACGCCGACGCAGATGGCAGAGTTCCTCGGCGCCGTCGAGGGCGACGCGGCTGTTGACCCGACGACGGCGCTTGTCCTGAGGCACGTGATCACGATCTACTTGCCGCAGAACCCAGTGCAGCAGATCGGGGTGGCTGCGTATCGCGAGATGCGGACGCTTGCCGAGGCGATCGACTTTCTCCTCCAGGGCACGATTCTTCAGGCGCTGGACATTCTGACCAAGCGGCTGAAGGCGGCGCAGGTGGCAGTCGGCGACGGGCACTGGGGCGCGGCGAAGTGGCTCGAGCTGATCCCCGCCAAGGACGAGCCCACCACTCTGCGCAACGAGGAGGAGGAGATGATCCGCAGCATCGAGCTCGCCGAGTTGAAGCTGGAGGAGCTCAGCAGCCGGCTCCGCAAGCCTCAGGGTTCAAGTGGAGGCCGGGAGGAGGCGCGCCCGCTGCTGGCGCCTCCTCCTGCAGGCCAGGCGCCCCCCCCCCCCCCCCCCCGTGCGACAGCGCGGCTGCCTGGCAATCGCGCGCCCGACCGCGCGAGGGCGCCGAAGGGCAGCGCGGAGGAGGGCGAGAGACCGCCTCACCAGCGAGTCGCGCAGCTCGACAAGACCGCAGAGGAGCTGCCCGCTGGAGGCTTGCAGGCCCCGCGGAACTTCAAGGCGGCGAGGGCTGTCCGCCCGAGGATGGACGGCGGGGCGTCGAAGGAGTACAAGGCGCGGCTGAGGGACTTCACGACGGAGTCGCGCGGCCAGAGGCAGTGGCAGACGTTGCCGAGGCTGCTGGAGGTGCAGCTTCTGAGGAGGAGGGCGCGGCGCGGTCCCCGACCTGTAGCAGCGGGTCGCTGCTGGCGTCCGAGGACTTCCCCTGGCTGGAGGCGGAGGGGGCAAGGAGCCGCTTCGCGGCTGGAGCGCCTCCCAGCCGGTGCCAGTATCGGGAACTGGCGAGCACCTCTCTCCCACGCGGCATGCGGGGCCTCCCCGCCGCGGGCTCTGCCACGCGGGGCGCTGGGGCGGGGCGCGACGAGGTCGCGGTCCAGTTCGGCACGACCATCACGAGCGTCGACATGACAGTGCAGACAGTGCACCTCGTGCAGCTCGGCGAGCGCCACCCTGGCAGCCTGGGGACTCTCTCGAGAGAAATTGCAGAGCACGTGTCTACACTTATGGGGAGCGGCAGGCGCGTTCGTGACCTGTCGCCGTTGCCCCTGCCAAGTCTCCTGGCTGTCAGGCGCTGGTGCACGATCAGGGGTGCTGGCCGCAGGTGCAGGGCCAGGCCGTTCGCTCGTCAAGTAGCTGAGGAGGCCCGGTTGCTTCTCACCGTCGCGGCGCTGAATTTCATGCACTGTGGTCGCTGCAGAAAGTGTTGGAGGCATCACCCGATCTCGTCTCAGGTGCAGCAGCAGGCGGTGGGGATCCTGAACTCCCGAGTCGTCGGCTTCCCGGGGCACCCGTTCAAGCAGGCGAGCGCGCCCGCCGCCGACGCGGTCCTCGGCGAGGCGACCGTGGGCTATTCAGGCGAGCCCGCGGCTAAGGCGTTGCCCTGCGCGCTCGCCGAGCCGGCGCCCGGCTTGCCGCGGCCCGAGCATGCCGCGGTGTTGGGCGCCCTAGACCTCGTGGAGCACGACGTTGCCGAGTGGCTAGCCTCGCCCGTGAAGGCCCTCCTTCCCGAGGCCGACTGGCCCGGCCCCAGGCCTCGTGCCAGGGCCAACGTCGCGGACGAAGCGGGTTGGCGCGAGCTCGCGGTGCACCTCGCGGAGCTCGGGATCTCCGCGGTGCTGAGCGAGGACCAGTTCGTCTGGGTCAGGGGCGAGCCGATCTTGAACGGGCCCTTCGTTGTGGCAAGGGAGGGCAAGCCAGGGCCAGGCGGCGAGCGGGTCACCAGGCTGATCTTGAACATGGTTCTTGGCAGCGCCCTGCTCGAACCGCCTGTCGGTGAAGCTTCACTCCTCGCGGCGTCCACAAGCTGGGTGCCCCTGCACATCCCCGAGAGCAAGTTGCTGCTGTGGGCGCGTGACGACCAGAAGGGGGCCTTCTTCGTCTGGAGGTCCCCAAGGCCTGGCACCCCTACATGGCGGTCGGCAGGTCTCTTGCTGGCGCGCTCTTCGGGCGCCCCGAGCGGCGGGTGTACATCGCGCCCGCGGCGATTGCCACGGGGTGGACGCTGGCGGCCCCAATCTCCCAGCACATTCGCCGCAGGCTGCGCCGCCTGCCGCCGCCCAGGGGTGCAGGGCTTCCGTCTGAGCTGGAGTGGCGGAAGGACGAGGCACGCCCGATCGTCGAGCTTGGCAGTGGCTGCGAGGCTGACTGGTGGCAGGTCTACATCGACGAATTCGACGCGCCCGAGATCGCGGACGAGGTTCGGGCGCGACAGCGCGGGGGCACCGAGGCGGACTGCCAGCAGCGCGTTCGCGAGAGCTACAGGTGCGCTGGCGTGGCCTACTCGGCGGAGAAGACCCACCTGCGGGAGACGCGAGTTGAGCGCATGGGGGCCGACGTGGATGGCGTTAGCGGGCGGCTTGCAGAGCCAGGCCCCAAGGCGTTGAGTACCGCTGCCCTTTGCCTCGCGACGTGGTCGCAGGAGCGGGTGCCCTGGCGGGTGTGCATGATGGTCCTCGGCAGGCTGGTGCGGGCTTTTGGGTGCAGACGCCCGCTTTCCAGCATCTTCAACTCTGCATGGGCCATGTCGACGGCGCGGTTTTCGGTCCAGTACGATGCCGAAATGGTCGAGGAGCTCGTCTCGGGCCTCATGCTGCTGCCTACAGCGGCCACCTCTCTTCGGGCCCGCATTGAGGGACGGTCGCGGTCTCGGGCGCCTCGGGGTTCGGGGGCAGCGTCTGCGCGTCCACGAGCCCTCGGGGGGAAGCGGCATTGGCACTCAAATCCGTGAGACGGGTCGCTGGTCACCTCGGCGTGGGAACTCGGCTGCTCGACATGCCTGTAGATCTGCGGTGCCATGGGGCCGTGTCTGACCCGAGGATCCCGAAGGCAGTCGTGTTCAGGGTGCTCACTGTCCGAACCGGGGGCTCTCTTCGACGGCATCGGCGGCCTCGGGGTGTCGCTCTCGAAGTTGCCCGTCAGGATCATCGCCTATGTCACCGCCGAGACCGACGCGAAGGCCAGGCGCGTTGTCCAGCTGCGCTGACCAGGCGCGATCGGCAGGGGCGGCGCGACGCGGGGGAACGAGAGCCTGGCGCAGGACCTCTTTGACGCGTTCTCGGGGGCTGGACGTGGGCGTCGCTGGCACGGGTGGCCCGCGCCAGGGCCCCTCGCGGCTCGACGCGAGCTGTGGAGGACTGCATGGCCGCAGGGCCCCCCTGTGCTATGAGGTGCCCTGGCACCCAGGATCTTCTGGCTCTTGCGGCAGACGTTCGGGCGGCGGTTCTACTCGCTGCTCAAGAACGCGGCGAGGATGCCTGACGAGAACGTCAGGCCATGTCCAGCTGCATGGGAGTAAAGCCGTACCTCCCCTGCTCGTCGGTCATGGTGTCGCGTCGCCCCAGATGGCATCGCCGCTGCGCCTTGTCGACAAGGGCCGCTGCCTCGAGGTCATTGCAGAGAACGGGCCGCTGCTGGACATCGAGTGGGGGAACCAGAAGTTCCGCTGGGCCAAGCGCCCGCTCCCCTTCCCGACGGTGGTGTGCTGCGGGGGGCGCCTGAGTTTGCCGTCGGCGCCGCGGGTCCTGGGCCCGGCATCGCTGGCAGGCCGATTTGTTCCGCTATCGCGTTTCGCTGGGCGAGGAGGATAATCTCGTCTATGACTGTTCTGGGAGGCCGCCTGGGAGGCTGCCAAGCTGCTCGCAGAGAGAACCACTGCTCGGGCTCGATGTGGGTTACACCGCTGTAGCCACGAAGTGCTCGAACCCGCAGGTCGCCTCAGACGCCGTGACCTTCCTGCTCGGGAACAGCTTCAGCGTCTATGGGTCGCAGGGGCTTTGCAGCACGTCCTCCTGGCGGAGTCCGCCTTGGCGCGACCCTCCCGGTCCGTGCCCGAGATCGCGCGCGCTGGCCAGTGCCGCGAGACTTGGGGCCAGCGCGGTTGCTTTGAGGACAGCCCGGGCGACCCGGACATCAAGGAGGCGAGGCGTCTCGTCCCCCACTACCTGGGCCACGCGGAGTAGGGGTGGCTCGGACGTGCGGCTGGATTGCGGCCTGCCGCGCCGTCCAAGAGGCTGCCCTCGCTCGAGCCTGGGCCCCTTCGCGCGGCGGTGGCGCGCTGTATTGAGCATGGCGTGGCCGCGCGAGTCGCGCGCGCCCATCAACTTGAGAGATCTGCAGGCAACGCTGGCAGCTATGCGGTGGCGATCGCAGAAGTCAGCTCGACACTGCACGCGGTGGCCCCGCCTCGTCGACAGTCAGGTTTAGCGACCATCGTGCCCGAGGGTCGCAGCAGCAGCCGCCGCTTGCAGCCAGCGCTGAAGGTTGGATGGTCATGGCGATCGCGGCAGACATGTGCCCGCTGATCGGCCGGCATCGCGCTGACAAGCGACACTGCCGCGGGCTTGTGCTTCCCGTTGCCCAAGCTCTAGCGGGGGCTGGACCTGTGGCGGGCGCTGCTGAAGGCCTGGCGGCGAGCGGAACCTGCAGAGCGGGCGGTGGAGGTCGGAGCATTCGACTTGAGCTGCCTGCTGCTCATCAGCTTTGAGGGCCTGCTGCGGGGGGGCGAGGCCTTTGAGTTGACGGTGGACGACGTTCTCGACCGAGGTACTCGGTCGTGCTGCATATCAAGACGTCCAAGACCACAGCAGGCAAGGACGCTGCGGAGGCCGTCGTCATCAGGTCAGCAGTGCCCAAGGCAAGGCTCAGGCTGGCCGTGCAACAGGGCCTTCAAGCGAAGCCCAGTCGTGGAGGTCGCCCGCCCAGCTCAGAAGCGCGCTCGGAGCCCTCGCGCACGGACAGGGCCTTCCTCGGCGCTGCTCGCGGCAGGCCGCCCGGCGAGGAGGCGCCTCAGACTTCTTCTTGCGGTCGTCCTCCATGGAGGCCACGCTCGCGAGGGGCAGCTGCGCCAGCAGCATGACGGCCCGCATCTACATCGAGGGTGCGGTGGCCGACCTCATGCGCGTGCGGCCCGCGGACCAGGCCGCCGCCGCTTGCTTGCGCGGACTCGCGCGTTGCATGCGTTCTCAGAGCTGCATTTTCTATTTAAGCTGTGTATTTTTTTCATCTAATCATCGCTTCGCTCATTCCGCCGGCCCTGGACGCGATTAGGGGTCTCATGGGGCCGTCTTGGGGGCTTCTTGGGGGCTTCTTGGGGGCGTCTTGGAGCTCCTTGGCGGCGCAATGGGCTCCCCTGGGGCCTCTTGGGGGTTCCTTGGGGGCCCCTTGAGGCGGGGGGGGGGGGTACTCTGTGTCCCTCAATAGTTTTGGGGGTACCTGTAGTCCGGGGGGGGGGGCCTATAGTCCGGGGGGGGTACTTGTAGTCCGGGGGGGGTACCTGTAGTGGGTACTTGTAGTCCGGGGGGGGGGTACCTGTAGTCCGGGGGGGGGTACCTGTAGTCCGGGGGGGCGCGCATGGGGGTGCTTGTAGTCCGGGGGGGGGGGGGGCAGATGGTCATGCCTCAAAGCACGCGTGGTTCCACGCACGCGGGTGTTTAGTACTTACGCGCGCGGGACCTCACGCGCATCGTTGCGCGCGACACGCCCGCGCGCACGCGCGCATGCACGCACAGACTCACACGCACGCGCGCACGCGCGCACGCAACCGCACGGAACCGCGCACACGCACACGCGAGCACACACGCACGCACACGCGCGCTCGCACGGACTCTGTATCATGACAGTGACAACTGTCCAGCAGATATTGCATGATTGCGCTGTCTGCTTTGGCTTCCAGAGACCACGTAGCGAACGCGGGGGAGCTTGTTGTTCTGGGGGCTAGGGGGGTACCTGTAGTCCGGGGGGGGGTACCTGTCGTCCGGGGGGGGGGGCTTGTAGTCCGGGGGGGGGGGGGCCTGTAGTCCGGGGGGGGTGCCTGTAGTCCGGGGGGGGGGGTCCGGGGGAGGGGTGCTTGTAGTCCGGGGGGTACCTGTAGTCCGGGGCGCCAAACCTATTGAGGGACACTGAGTAGTCATTGCCCCCCCCCCTCGGAGGCCACGATCCTCGTGAGGGGTGGCGAAAAATAGCCTCCCGCCCGGGGTCGGCCAGGGATCGGCCGGGGTACTTTTCGCCCGGGGGCCCCCAGGGGCCGCCCCGCGCGCGCGAACTAGAAATATTATTAAGTAGTTTCCGGAGATCTTAGCACGCCTCTGGCCCGCTGGGCCGGCGAATTATATATGTTCACGAGCTTCGCTCTGCCAGTGATCCCGTAGTTTACAATTCGAAAGCAGACTAATGTATTGCAAATGAGGTGGAGGGGGGGAGAGTTCAATAGCATTTTCACGGCTAGCAAGCCACGAGGGGGTGGAGATGGTATAGCGTGTTTTCCCAGTTCTTTCCGGCGCCGCGGACTGGGGTTCAGTGTGACCTGGGTCCTGAAACGCCCCTCCCCGTCGTGAAGCTGGCCCGTGAAGCCCAGAGTGAAGCCAGTGTGGACTGCCACGCTTGGCTGCTCTGGCCGCGGGGGGCCTTGCTCTTGGCTTGGCGCAGCTGCGGGGAAAGGGTGGCGTCGGGCGGTTCGCGGCGAACCGCAGTCTGAGGGGGAAACGGGGTTATTAGACCATTGGCGTGGACACGTGCAGTAAAACGGTCTGTCCGTATACTGGCTTGTATGGTCATACCATTTGGTGTGTGTGTGTGTATCCCCTACGCCGTCTACCCTCCGTTCCAGGGCTGTTCTGGCTCCCGACCCACACCACCCACCATAATGATCTCTTGTAGAGGCTAGCCGGCTCAATGATTGCCTGAGGTGCCGTAGCCCATCAGGTACAGCGTGTTTTCCCCGTTCTTTGCGGTGCCGCGGACTGGGGTTCAGTGTGACCTAGGTCCTGAAACGCCCCTCCCCGTCGTGAAGCCGGCCCGTGAAGCCCAGAGTGAAGCCAGTGTGGACTGCCACGCTTGGCTGCTCTGGCCGCGGGGGGCCTTGCTCTTGGCTTGGCGCAGCTGCGGGGGAAGGGTGGCGTCGGGCGGTTCGCGGCGAACCGCAGCCCGAGGGGTAAACGGAGCTACTATACCATTGGCGTGGACACGTGCAGTAAAACGGTCTGTCCGTATACTGGCTTGTATGGTCATACCATGTGGTGTGTGTGTGTATCCCCTACGCCGTCTACCCTCCGTTCCAGGGCTGTTCTGGCTCCCGACCCACACACCACCCACCATAATGATCTTTTGTAGAGGCTGGCCGGCTCAATGCTTGCCTGAGGTGCCGTAGCCCATCAGGTACAGCGTGTTTTTCCCCGTTCTTTGCGGTGCCGCGGACTGGGGTTCAGTGTGACCTGGGTCCTGAAACGCCCCTCCCCGTCGTGAAGCTGGCCCGTGAAGCCCAGAATGAAGCCAGTGTGGATTGCCACGCTTGGCTGCTCTGGTCGCGGGGGGCCTTGCTCTTGGCTTGGCGCAGCTGCGGGGGAAGGGTGGCGTCGGGCGGTTCGCGGCGAACCGCAGTCTGAGGGGGAAACGGGGTTATTAGACCATTGGCGTGGACACGTGCAGTAAAACGGTCTGTCCGTATACTCTTGTATGGTCATACCATTTGGTGTGTGTATCCCCTACGCCGTCTACCCTCCGTTCCAGGGTTGTTCTGGCTCCCGACCCACACACCACCCACCATAATGATCTCTTGTAGAGGCTAGCCGGCTCAATGCTTGCCTGAGGTGTCGTAGCCCATCAGGTATAGCGTGTTTTTCCCCGTTCTTTGCGGTGCCGCGGACTGGGGTTCAGTGTGACCTGGGTCCTGAAACGCCCCTCCCCGTCGTGAAGCTGGCCCGTGAAGCCCAGAGTGAAGCCAGTGTGGACTGCCACGCTTGGCTGCTCTGGTCGCGGGGGGCCTTGCTCTTGGCTTGGCGCAGCTGCGGGGGAAGGGTGGCGTCGGGCGGTTCGCGGCGAACCGCAGCCTGGGGGGGAAACGGAGCTACTATACCATTGGCGTGGACATGTGCAGTAAAACGGTCTGTCCGTATATTGGCTTGTATGGTCATACCATGTGGTGTGTGTATCCCCTACGCCGTCTACCCTCCGTTCCAGGGCTGTTCTGGCTCCCGACCCACACACCACCCACCATAATGATCTTTTGTAGAGGCTAGCCGGCTCAATGCTTGCCTGAGGTGCCGTAGCCCATCAGGTATAGCGTGTTTTCCCCGTTCTTTGCGGTGCCGCGGACTGGGGTTCAGTGTGACCTGGGTCCTGAAACGCCCCTCCCCGTCGTGAAGCTGGCCCGTGAAGCCCAGAGTGAAGCCAGTGTGGACTGCCACGCTTGGCTGCTCTGGCAGCGGGGGGCCTTGCTCTTGGCTTGGCGCAGCTGCGGGGGAAGGGCGGCGTTGGGCGGTTCGCGGCGAACCGCAGTCTGAGGGGGAAACGGGGTTATTAGACCATTGGCGTGAACACGTGCAGTAAAACGGTCTGTCCGTATATTGGCTTGTATGGTCATACCATTTGGTGTGCGTGTATCCCCTACGCCGTCTACCCTCCGTTCCAGGGTTGTTCTGGCTTCCGACCCACACACCACCCACCATAATGATCTCTTGTAGAGGCTAGCCGGCTCAATGATTGCCTGAGGTGCCGTAGCCCATCAGGTATAGCGTGTTTTCCCCGTTCTTTGCGGTGCCGCGGAGTGGGGTTCAGTGTGACCTGGGTCCTGAAACGCCCCTCCCCGTCGTGAAGCTGGCCCGTGAAGCCCAGAGTGAAGCCAGTGTGGACTGCCACGCTTGGCTGCTCTGGTCGCGGGGGGCCTTGCTCTTGGCTTGGCGCAGCTGCGGGGGAAGGGTGGCGTCGGGCGGTTCGCGGCGAACCGCAGTCTGAGGGGGAAACGGAGCTACTATACCATTGGCGTGGACACGTGCAGTAAAACGGTCTGTCCGTATACTGGCTTGTATGGTCATACCATTTGGTGTGTGTATCCCCTACGCCGTCTACCCTCCGTTCCAGGGCTGTTCTGGCTCCCGACCCACACACCACCCACCATAATGATCTTTTGTAGAGGCTAGCCGGCTCAATGCTTGCCTGAGGTGCCGTAGCCCATCAGGTACAGCGTGTTTTTCCCCGTTCTTTGCGGTGCCGCGGACTGGGGTTCAGTGTGACCTGGGTCCTGAAACGCCCCTCCCCGTCGTGAAGCTGGCCCGTGAAGCCCAGAGTGAAGCCAGTGTGGACTGCCACGCTTGGCTGCTCTGGTCGCGGGGGGCCTTGCTCTTGGCTTGGCGCAGCTGCGGGGGAAGGGTGGCGTCGGGCGGTTCGCGGCGAACCGCAGTCTGAGGGGGAAACGGAGCTACTATACCATTGGCGTGGACACGTGCAGTAAAACGGTCTGTCCGTGTACTGGCTTGTATGGTCTGTATGGTCATACCATTTGGTGTGTGTGTGTATCCCCTACGCCGTCTACCCTCCGTTCCAGGGCTGTTCTGGCTCCCGACCCACACACCACCCACCAGTAGAGGCTAGCCGGCTCAATGCTTGCCTGAGGTGCCGTAGCCCATCAGGTATAGCGTGTTTTTCCCCGTTCTTTGCGGTGCCGCGGACTGGGGTTCAGTGTGACCTGGGTCCTGAAACGCCCCTCCCCGTCGTGAAGCCGGCCCGTGAGGCCCAGAGTGAAGCCAGTGTGGACTGCCACGCTTGGCTGCTCTGGCTGCGGGGGGCCTTGCTCTTGGCTTGGCGCAGCTGCGGGGGAATGGGGGCGTCGGGCGGTTCGCGGCGAACCGCAGTCTGGGGGGGAAACGGAGCTACTATACCATTGTCGTGGACACGTGCAGTAAAACTGTATATATATATATATACACGTATACGTCTACTGATATCATCAGGTCAAACGATGCGCGCTATGCGCAGTGTCGGCCTGAACCTGGAGCCGCCGTGCGTGCCGAGCGATGGCGATGTCGGTGTCGCCGTCCGCGCCACCGCCCCCGTCGCCGTCGCCGTCAGCGCCGCCGCCTGTATCGGAACGGGACCCACGACCCGACGACGCCCGCCGACGACGAAGACGATGTTGACAGCGGCGGCGGTGCGACGAAGATATTCGTCGAGGTCTCCCTAGGACTTTCACGGGGCGCCCAGCGACGTCGATCCTCCTCCTCCGATGTGTTGCCCTGGTGTACAACTTCTTGCACACCTTGGCAATGCGCCGTCATCGCAGGATGCTTATGACGGGTTACTGGGAGGTCCCTGAGGCTCTTGAGAGGCACTTGACCCGGTCTGGAGGGGGTCCTGGGCTCTAGAGCGAGGTTCTTGAGAGGCCCTCGGGTTGCTCTTGAGAGGCGACGGGGAGGGTATCGGGAGGTTCCTGAGAGGGTCCAGAAAAGGGTCCCGATAAGGTGCACGTGTACTCCTGCAGCCCGTTCCAACCACCGAAAACGACCCCCCCAAAGCACGCATACACACAACATAATGCAGAAGTTTTCGGCCCCCCGCTCGAGCTCTTTTTCCACTTTGGCGTCCTACCTCCTTACTGCCTCTCTTCGCGCCCATTCCTTCCTGCCTCGTCCTCCTCTGACGAAGGCGGGGTCGCCGACGACGAGTGATGACGACGGGCTTCTCGTTGGAGGGCGAGGGGGTTCGTCTCGCAGGCTCTCCGCCACCTTTCAGTTTCCTCCCCCCCTTTCTTTCCGCCTCCATCCTCACCTGTCCTCCCTCCTCCTTGTTCCGCCTTCCTCCACGCTCGTTCCTCCCCCACCCATCGCTCCTCAATAATTTGTTTCCCCCACCTTCCTCCCTGTCCTTATCATCCTCTTGTCTTCCCTGTACACTGTTCCCGCTGAGCGGGTGCCTCCCCGATGGTCTGATCCCTCCCCCTCCTCCCCTCCTCTCCGAGCTCACCCCTTCGTCATTCAGAACATGGGGCCGTGGCCACACCTGACATCTTCGCGTCGTGGAAGAATCACGACGCAGGATTTTCGCCGGTCTCTGGCCTCCAACGGCCTCGCCAGGCCCCGGGACTGTCAAACAAACGACTCAGGATGAAAAACCATTCCTGGGGAAGCAGTCCAGACCTTCGCTGAGCCACGTTGCGAAAATGTTTGGGACCCCAGGTCCTCGAGGAGACGACCCGGATCCTTGCCGAGTTCCGCGCTGCCCGCACGGTCGCCGAAATGTCTCCTCGGGCTTGGGACGGGTGGTGTCGTCCTGGGCGCCACCGTGACCACCCCCAGGCTTTCCGAGGCCACCCCCGGAGGCTTTGGAGGGCTCGGGGGGTGGAAAATGGGGTCCAGGGTCGTCCAGGGTTCAAGAGGCGTTCGGACGCAGGGAGGAGGGGGAGGAGGAGGAGGGGAGGAGGAGGAGGAGGAGGAGGAGGAGGAGGAGGAGGAGGAGTTTGACCATGTGACAATGTGACTTGGAGGAGGAGGAGGAGGAGGAGGAGGAGGAGGAGGAGGAGGAGCTATTGACGCCCTTGCGGGCGTTTCCATGTGGCCGGCGGGTGGGGCCCAAGCCCACTGGGGATTTCTTAGAACTTCTGTGTCGGCGGCGGACGCCGCCCGCTTTCCTTGCGGAAGCGCCTGACGTCGGTCCAGGGCCGGGTCAAGCTGTCGGATTACGGTCAGGAGCTTTTGCTCGGCGTGTTGCTCCGCCTGCTTTGACCCACCTTGGCGCGACGCGCTAACCACATCCCAATTCCCAAGCGTCAGCGTCCCCAGCCTCTCCCAGGCTCCCGTTCCGCGGGGCGGAACGACACGCCATCAGCTCGCAGGGCATAGCGTGTCGCTGGGGCCGCCGCCGCGATATGCTAAGCACAGGTTCCTGACCGTATGTGTTTCCCCAGACGTTGTGGAAACCCTTGGGGGAACATGTGGGGGAGGAGTGAGGACGGCGAGGGGGAGGAGAAGCAGTGGAGGAGGAGGAGGAGGCGGAGGAGGAGGAGGAGGAGAGGGAGCAGCAGCTGCAGCAGAAGCAGGGGGAGGATGTCGTCTTCGTAGTCGTCGTTGTCCGCCTCCTCCATCGTCCCTCCCAGCATGAATCCTAAATTTACACATTCTCTCGCTCGGCCATGTTTTTTCCTGGAACGGATCTCGTGGGCGTTGTGCCAGCGCCGCCAGCGCAAAACTGGATGGTTCCATGCGTCGCGTTTTGCGCCAGCGGCGCCCAGAAGCTTAAGGCGCCAGATGAGTGCCCTGGCGTCGTTCGCCCAGCGCCTCAAGAGGTTGCGATGCCGATCTCGCATGTCAGCCGAAACCGTTTCTACCTCGCTGTTGCTCCGAGCGCGCGGCTCGTTTGTCTGGCTGCTGAGTGCCGCGGTTTTTTCCAGCTGGAATTCGCATGTTCCGCTGCGTTGATCCCGAGAGAGGTTGGGCCCTGCAACTGCGTGAGGCCCCTGCGCGAGGGGTCTGACCAGGGCCGAAGAGACGCGGAGGCACGCTGGTACCTCGCGCGCCAACAGAGGAGACACCTTGGACGCATCAGACCGAAAGGGCCCCGCGAAAAACAACAGGAGACCCGCGATGCCGGATCTTTTTTGTAGAGTGTCTCGAAAATCAAATATTGCAAGGGACCAAGGCGCCGAACAACGCGCACAGGAAAATCTCTGTAGAGCCCCCTTTCGGCAGAACACAGGCGTTGCGTTGGGACCCGGTCTCCTGCGGGCAACGCCGCCGCGCGGTTGCCGGGATGACATGGGCGCCGCTCGTCGCTGTTGAGCCTCGGAAGCTGGATGAGTCGAAGGTGGAGGAGAGAAGTTTGGTGAATGCCCTGGTAGCCGTTTGGATTTGATGGAGTGTGTTCTGGCGCATCGCGCGGATTTGGTGCAGGTCTGCTCGCGGTTCCGCCTCGTTTCTTCCTGTTCTGTATTGCCCGACGCTTCGCGGTTGCGTGTTTGGGGGCGGTTCGGATGCCTCTTCAAAGGAACTGTGTTAGGGATGTCGCAGGCGTCGGGCCCCATTAAAAATTGCTTTATGCGCTCGTCGGCTCTAAAATCCACGTGTGACCAACACCAGCTTTAATATAATCCTTCATCATCTGACTCCTCTTTCTTCTTCCTCCTTCTTCCTCCGATTCTCTCCTCCTTCTGCCTCGTCCGTCTCTCCCTCGGCCTGGTTGCGTCCACTGGATGCGAGAATATAGCTTGTTTTTTTACACCCAAAAAATCAGGGGCGATGGCGGCCGTCTCCGGGGGGGGGATGGGCTGGTGACGTCACTTTTTTGCCAGCGGCGTCTGGGAATGTCAAGGAATAACCGACGACGGTTCAGAGCACCATGTGGCGATCTGCACCACAGCGCCTGTGTGAACCTCAGTGCCTGCGTGCACCACAGCGCTCGTGTACACCACACCGCCGATGTACACCACAGCAGCCGCGTGCATCACAGCGCCAGTGTGGACCACAGTGTCTGCGTGCACCACAGCGCTTGTGCACACCACAGCGCTTGCGTACATCACAGCTGCCGCGTGCACCACAGTGCCTGTGTACACCACGGCGCCAGCGCGCTCCATTGCAACCTTCTGCAACGGAACACCGTTGTTGTATATAGAATGGTGGAAGTAACCCCTATGACAAAATGGAACGCCTGTGGATTCCACAGGGGACAAGTATTCCGCACAGGATTTAGGAAATAATCCCTACGACAAGTAGGAGCGCTTCTGGAATCTACGAATCCTCCCGAGGAGGAGGCGGAGGAGGAGGAAAAAAAGACGAGGGGGATGAGGAGGAGGAGGAGGAAGAGGAAGTGGAAGAGGAAAATGAAGAGGACGAGGAGGACGAGGAGGAGGAGGTGCCGTGCCTTGGGGGTCGGGACGCGCATACAGACAGGGGCGGCGTCCTCCGAAAGGAGTTCGCCTGAGGCGTCGGACACTGTCGAGGCCGTGCAGTGGGAGGCGCTGTGGCATGGGGGCGCTGTGGCATGGCACCGTGGCGCTTCATGGCACGAGCGGTTACGTTTTTCTCGTCCATTCCTGTTTTGCGGTGCGCAGTGAGATCCGCACGCGCGCTGTAACGCCGGCCCGCACGACAGGTAGGACGGTGAGGGAGGAGGAGGAGGAGGAGGAGGAGGAGGAGGAGGAGGAGAAACGAACACTGCATTATCTTCTCAGCATTACCCCTGCGTGGTGTTTAGCAGTCCGCAGCAGATCCTCACCTACATGCTCCTTCAACCGTCAACCTGTCCTGTGCACGCAGGCACTGTGGGGTGCACCAGTGCTGTGTTGCACGCGGACGTTGTGGTGTACACAGGCGTTGTGGAGTACAAAGGCGTTGCGGTGCACGCAGGCACTGCGGTGTACACTGGCGCTGTGTTGCAGACGGCTGCTGCGGTGTACGCATTCGCTGTGGTGTACAGGTGTTATGGCGCACGCAATCACCATGGTGTACACACGCGCTCCGTTGCACACGGCTGTCGCTGTGCACGCAGGCAATGTGGTGTGCATGCGCGCCGTCGTGCACGCGAGAACTTTGGTGTGCACAAGCGCTGTGGCGCAGATCGCCACCGACATGCTGTTCCTACGTTGCTTCGGCCATCCTTAAGCATCCCAAGGCTCCGCCAGCGCGGCACATGACGCCACCTGGGAGGGGGAGGCGGGGCCGGTGACGGCCGTTTTCTCAGAAAGTGGAAAAACAGATTCCTCACTTGAGATTTGCGTATCTGATTTTCGACGGGCCACGCGGCGGTTGAGCACTTGATTGCCTTGGTTCCTCGATCGATATGCAATCTGCGGCTTGAAGGTAGGACCCCCCACCTCACAGGACCGTCGTTGTCTTTATCGCCCTCCTCCTCCCCCTTGTCCTTCAGCTGTTCATCCGCCACGTCCTCCCCTTCACCCCTCTCCACCAGTTCCCTCTGCTCGGCCCCCCCGTCCTCAATCCCCGTTGTTGTTTTTCTTCCCGTCTTCTGTGCTATCCCTTCTCCACGCCCGACCGAGTTGGGATCGGCGCCCACCGAAAATGTGCATGCCCATCTGGAATGTGATCCAACATTTCAGCCGTGCGGTGTCGGTCCATGTTTTAATTAGACGTGTACGAACGGTGGCTCTCAAAATTGGCACGCAGCATATTCAAGCATATTTGGTTGTAGTTGCAAATCAGACGCCAATGCATATGTTGTATATGCCAAAATGCAAACGTGCATACCCATACGACCACACTTCGGGTGAAAAGGAGCTTGTGGGGGGGGGCAACCAAGTGATGACAATTGCGGTGGGACGCCATCGGAATTTCCCCCAGCTCAAATTAATGCCACCATTAGGATACAATCTGGACACCATCAGAACATCATCAGGACACCATTTTGATCCATCCGAGCACCATGTGTTTATCGATCTCAGTATCCGCCTCATGATAGGTCGCCCTATCGATCTCACGATCGATCTCACTATCTGTTCTTTCGCCCTCACCATCCGTCTCATCGGTCTCACCATATGTTTGTCGATCTCGCGATCGGTCTCACTTCCGATCGGCATCACGAACGACAGCACTATCCCACTACGGGCTCAACATTGATCTCACCATCGGTCACTCTACCAATACATCAGTCTCACGATCAGCATGCCCCATTATCCATCGCACACTTGAACTCATTACCTGTTTATTGATATCACGATCGGTCAGTCTCACGATCCAGAGATACTGTTATCTATCTATTACTACCATGGGACAGCCATTGGGAGACCATCGGCGAGCCATCGGGACACCAGCAGGACACCATGTGGACACCCATCGGGACACCATCGGGGCACCATCGGGACAACATGTGGACACCAATGGGACACCAACGAGATACCATCGGGACACCAACGGAAAACCATGTGGACACCCATCGGGACACCATCGGGACACCATATGGACATCAACAGGACATCAACGAGATGCCATCGGGACACCATCGGGACACCATCGGAACACCCCCAAGCCATCGCCAGCCAGCTTGCGGGACACCCCCGAGCAACCAGCGGCCAACCGGGAGGGAGGGAAACAACATTTGGCCCGGTTTCGCCCTACAACGTAGCAGTGGCGAGTTCATACCGCTCGCCCGCCGACGCAGCTTCGCCTCGCCCGCCGCGCGCACGACATGAAACCGAAACCGATTTCCCAGTGGGGAGTCTCCGTGTCATTTCGATCTCACCCCTCGGCCATGCACATGAGGATGTGTGTGTGTGTGGATGCATGTGTGGGTGTGGATGCGAGTGTTGGTGCTGGTGGCAACCAGCAGCCCCCTTCCACATCAGGGAACAGTTCGAATCTGCCATGCGGCAGCATGGCCTCAACTCGCTGCCAGCCTGGACACTCATGAACCACGTCACCTACAAGATTTCACTTTTCATCAGATCATCCAGAGCAGGCGAAACCACGCTCACGAAGGGGTTGATCGATACGTGAACTTCGTGTGAGCCCTCTACACAGTCGAACTTCGGCATTCGTCCACGACCATCGCTCTTTCATCCGTCGAAAAATGAAAGACGGCGATCACGACAACGAGCGAGGAGGATCACAACGAATAGCAGCAGGATGAGTAGGAGGAGGAGGAGTGAGGATAATGAAGAGTAGCGGACAGCTGACTAGACCCCACCATACGGATGGACATGATACTGTGCAGCATCAAGGTTCTTTCTCGAGCTGTCGTCTTGGATCAAGATCAGGCTTGCTCAGATTTCGAGTCAGCGCGCCGCCTTCCTCATTGTACCATGCGCCGCGATTTCCGCCCAGCTGCCCTGGACATGGCGCTGATCCCCGGGCGGCACTTGTCGACGGCCAAGAGCCCCTGCCACGAGCAGTATACGCCGGGCAAGTTCGTCAGGCTGGTCAGTGTCTCGGCGACGGCCTCCTGCAGAGACCTCGCGCCCGTGGGCGGGCTGGACGACGGCGCGGCTCCCGAGCTCGATGCCCGGCTGGACGACGGCGCGGCTCCTGGCGGGCCGTCACCAGACACATCCCCAGGTCTCCGACGATATATGATTCTAATGCGCGGCCCCAAGCCTTGAGATCCTGGCGTCGCCATTTTCTGAGCGATTTCGCCTTCGTTCGGGCCCTGGGACCGTCACGGATTGGCCCCGGGGCCTGATACACATGCCCCAGCAGCCGAAACCGAGGAAAAGTGCGCCTGGATAGCAGAAATCGTATCGTCGGAGAGCTGGGCCTTCGCCGCTCGACAGCGCGCTGCTGAAAAGCCGGCGGCGATGTCGCGCCGGCCTGCGGCGGGAGGGCCGTGGCCTGAAGCCTTCGGGGCCGGAGGTGGCGGCCGAGGCCACCGGCGGCCTTGGCGCGGTGGGCCGCAGCGGGCCCAGCTCGCCGTTGGGACGGGTGCTGCTGGCGGCGAAACGCTGGAACTCGGAGGAAAAAACGATACACCGATACCGCCCCAGCAATCCCTTCGCCGCGAAGAAAATCACAACGGACGGTTGTTGCAGATTTCGGGCCTCGGGGGACCCTTGCAGGGACCCAGGACCGTCAAGAGACGCCTCCGGATGAAAAGCTTGTCCCGGGGAAGGGCTCCAGATTTTTGGGGACCCACGCAATACAGAAAACATAAAAAATCAAAAAAGAAGTCGGATGCCTGGGCACTCATTTTCTTTTTCGCCATTTTGGGCGTCCTAGGTGGCCCTCGTCGCCAGTGCTGGATTCGCTTCGAGATTCTGGTTACACTCAAACCCAGGAGAGGTCAGGGGAATGGCTACACCGGTACTTGACATCCGCCGATATGTTTTTTTCCGATCCGCGGCCCCTGCACAGGTCTTTCTACCGCTGCCCCCTGGGGGTATCCTGCTATTCTGGAGCAATTGTTGATGGTTTTGGGGCCCGGTATTGGCCCCCGAGGCCAATACCGAGGAGAAATGCGGGGATTGGAAAACTCGTGTCGTGGGAGCTCTGGGGGCATCTTCGCTCCTCCAGGAACGCCCTCGCCTGCCGCGTCGGGCCTCTTAAGTGCGGCGCGCGCGGGCCCGGTTCGACGCCGCGGCGGGGTCATGCCGCTTGCCATGGCGCCGCGGCGCAGCACGCCTGACGCGCGCGCCTGCTGCCTGCTCCTCTTCGCCGTCCTCGTCATCCATATTGTTCTCTCCATCGCTGAGATCCTGGCGTCGCGATTTGTTCGATACGGGCGATGGTGCCATGTTTCGCTACCTGGGGCCCTCAAGGATTGATCCTGTCCAAAAAATGCCGCAGGAAGTTCGGGCCCAGGGCTCCAGTCGAGTTCGCCCCACGATGTTGCATGTTTTCGCGACGTCGGATCTGAGGGTTTGTTCTTATTCCTCCTCGCCAGACGTCCATCTCCTCGTCCTCTCCCCAGATCTCCGACGATATTTTATTCAATCCTGGCGGTTTCCTCGAGTTCGGCTTTGGGGGCCCGTTGTTGAGCCCTGTGGCCATCAAAAATGGCCCCCGGGCGAAAAACTGCCCCCTGGGAAGGGGCTGGGACCTCTGGAACCGCGCATTGGAAAACATCATATTGTCGAGTGTCTGTGTCCGTAGCCAGAACCTAAACAGATCAACCACCTGGGGAACCGATGTCCCGTGACCCCAGGCGGCAGTTGATATGGATGTCCTCGGCCCTTTCAGGGCCCGAAGTTGTTCGTATCCGCTGCCTCCTGGTGTGGGCCTGGGACATCGTTCCCGCAGGCGGTAGATACTATGTTCCAGCCTCAAGTCCTCGTCCTCCACCTGATCCTCCTCCTCCTTTTACGGTCAAGGCTTCTAAGTATTCCCGTACTCGTTTTGCGTGCAGCGCGTGGTACTCAAACAGTCGCCTGACTATACACTGATTCCTTGCTCCGTGGCCGCCTTTATGTGTCGTGGTGGGCCTTCAATTTGATGGCTGAACGACACGTAGACGCTGCAGGCCAGAGCACGGCAGTATGCAGTCGCCCCCACATGATTCGACCAGTGGACGAGTGCCCCGCGAGCGGGCCAACTGGCGATTCTCCAGTGCGCGTCCCGAGGTCAAACAGCAAGTATCGCATGGGGGTACGTCTTTGAGCCCCCAGCAGCACACCATATGTACCTGGGACCATCAGCGTTTGTCCCTTATCTGTTCTGTTAGACTCGGTTTCATCACCCGACGCTCTTCGCCCAGCTTTCCTAAGCCCACCTCCTCCCTCATCCTCGTCCCCCGCCTCATTCCTCTTCAACTGAAGGCAACTCGCTGTCCATCAAGAGATGATGGTCTCTGAGCGACGTTCTACTAGAACTAACAAGGCAAGTTGTACAGCAAGATCGCACACCTCCCTGATGATCAGATCCTGCGGGACCTCGTGCCTGCGGGGCCTCGTGTGTGAGCCGGGAGGAAGCGCACCAAGGCAGTGGTACCGCCAGCGCAAACGTGGACGCCCGAAGTTTCAGTGGGCGGCGTGTACTGTCCCGTACGCTTTCAGATCATGTTTGTTTTGCCGGACGTGTAGTTCGACAAATTATGAGCTGCCTAGTTCTGCGCCGTTTGGGCGCCCGGCTTCCTTGCTTGTTTTCGTTACACGAACGACGACCCGTCATCATCATATTGTTATAATTCGATCCGGCAGCGGGCACATGCCCCACGCACGGGCTTGGTTCCCCGTGTTCGGGGTTCCTCTGGACCGGGCTGCCGCGTCCACGCCGACAGGCGGTGCGCGTTTGCGCGTTCAGAGCTTGACCAGAGCGCCGCGTCTGGTAGCCATGAGTGGTGTCTGTTTCTCCGCCCTGGCTGACGCCGCCAAGAGAATTCATGCTTCGTGTGTTGTTTGATTGATTGAGGGTTTGTCGTAGAAAAAAGATCGCACAGCTTTGCGAGCACAATAGCGTTCGGTACTTTCTTCTCGGGAGGCTCGAAGCAGCCCGAAGGTCCTCGCCAGGCTTCGCTAGTAATCCGCTCTTTCGTTCATTCCCACCGCAAACTAGATAATCACGCCCCAAGCGTTGCTTGTTGGTGCCAGGTGGGGCAGGAAGGGGCATTGTGCAGTGGCTCCCACTGGGCAGTGGACAAGTAAGCTCGAAGCAATCAGACTGCAACTTCTCGGAAAATCAACATGCCCCGACCTTGCTCACCAGGCCTCATCAGGCTGAGTGTAATCCACGTGAAGCCCTGGGAAAGGGTCCCCAGAGAGGCCCCAGTCCCCAGTCAGCCCAACAGTCAGCCCAAATAATCCCACGTCGTTAAAATCCCGAGTGGCCCCTGGGACACCCCAAGCCGGCCCACGGGAAGTTGTGAGAGCGTCCAAGGGCCGTGCAAGGTATTAAAGTCGAAAGCGAGGGGGTGAGATCGCAGTGGAACAGAGAGCCCCCCACGGGGAAAGCACTTTTGATTTCGTGTTCGTGTCGAGCGTGTGGACGAGGCGATGTTGCGTGGGCGCGCGTGACGAAATGTGCCGCTGTGGCTGGGGGCTGTGGAGCCGGTTGTCCACCCCCCCTCCCGCGGCGGGTGGTGGCCATGGGTATCCCGTCGGTGGCACGTCGGTGTCCCGTCGGTGTCCTGTCTGTGTGCCGTCGGTGTCCCGTCGGTGGCGCGGCGGTGTCCGGTCGGTGGCGCGAGGGGTGTCCCGTCGGTGGCGCGGGGTGTCCCGTCGGTGGCGCCGCGGTGAGATCGATAGTGAAATCGATTGTAAGATTTGTTGTGAGATCGATAGTGAGATCTGTTGTGAGATCGACCGTGAGGTCTGTTGTGAGATCGATCGTGAGATCTGTTGTGAGATCGATTGTGAGATCGCTCGTGAGATCTATAGTGCGATCGACAGTGAGATCGATAGCGAGATCGATTGTTAGATCGATTGTGAGATCGATTGTGAAACCGATAGCGAGATCGAGGTGGGACCAATTATGAGATCGATAGTGGGACTGATGGTGAGCACTGTTGTGGGATCGATAGTGAGTCTTAATGTGAGGTCGATGGTGAGTTCGACTGTCAGATCGATGGTGGGACCGATTGGGAGATCGATAGTTGGATATGTTGTGAGCTCGGTGGTGAGATCGATAGTGAGTTCGACTGTCGAATCGATAGTGGGATTGATTGTGAGATCGATAGTGAAATCCGTTGTGAGATCTATAGTGGGATCGATAGTGAGATCGATAGTGAGATCTGTTGTGGGATCGATGATGAGATCTGTGTTTAGATCGATGCTGACATCTGTTGTGAGATCGATGCTGAAATGTGTTGCGAGAGTTATGGTGCGATTGATTTAACCTCAATTGAGTTGGCCACTCCACTGCTCGTGCAAACATCCCACCCACCTACCCGCAACTTGGTCGCAAGACCTCTTCAAGCCGTGACTGCGATTACCCATCGACGACAACGACGACGGCGACGACGACTACAACGACGGCTACGACGACGACGACGACGACGAGGGGGACGACGACGACGACGACGACGACGACAAAGGGGAAGATGACGACGACGACGACGAGGACGACGACGACGACGATGCGCGCGGCCGCGCGCATGTGCCCCGCATGGTATTATTTGAAAGGGATTGTGCCTCTGGCACGCGCGCAAAAGTTGTCGAATGAGTTCGGCATGCGCGCGAGAAGTTGTCCGCGAAGCCCCGCGTGACATGAATGTTCGAAAACCATTGTTGTTTTGCATGATTATGCAAGCGCGCGAACAGATTTTCGTTATTTTCCAGTGCGCCAGTGGTATTCTTTCCAATGAATTATTGAAGTCCGATCTTGCTATTGTTGAAATCACAGTGTGTTTGGGAGGATTTCGGCATGCGCGCGCGGAGACCGCGCGCATGCGCGCCTTATTGTATTAGTTACAAGGGATGGCGCGTCTGGCAAGCGCGCGGGGGTTGTTGAGTTAGTTCGACGTGCGAGCGAAAATAACCCGTGAAGGCCCATTTGACAGGAATGTTGTAACACCATTGGTTCTTGAAAGGTTCTGCAAGAGCGCGCGGGCAGAATTTCCAAAGTGTTTGGGTGAGGGCGTCGTTTTTTTCTTCTTTTTCAAAACATGTTTTTACAATGCATTATTGAAATCCGATCTTGAACATGTTGAAACCACAGTGTGTTTAAAAGGGTTTCGACATGCGCGCGCGGCGGCCGCGCGCATGTGCGCCTTATTGTATTATTGACAAGGGATTCGTGGAAAAGTTTGCCTCTGGCACGCGCGCGGCAGTTGTTGAATGAGTTCGGCGTGCGCGCGAGAAGTTGTCCGCGAAGCCCCGCGTGACATGAATGTTCAAAAACCATTGTTTTTTGCAT